CCGCTTCGGTCGTACTTTTCCCGAAATTAGTGGTTTCAAGTCATGAACCAACAATATATTGGTTCACCGATTGAAATCGTTGATTCATGGCTTGAACCGCTAATTTCATAACCAAAATATAGTGCGTCATAATTGACAAGAACCAAAATATAGTGAGTCATAATAGATAATAATTTATGTTGATCTAGTTCAATTATGACTCACTACATTTTGGATAATCATTTCTATTGATCTAGTCATAATTGGGGAAATTGGATAATCATTTCTATTGATCTAGTCATAATTGGGTAATAATTTCCGGATCTTTGGATGCAATTCTAATGTTAGTGTTTATTTTCAACCAAAATAAGATAGTTGCATCTTTGGTTCAAATTGCGATCACGTTTGTAGGATCGAACAAGTTCGAAAATGACTGTTATTTTGAACAAGTGGAATCACTATCGAAGTAGCACAAACCATGACCAAAGATTTATTTTGGTTCACCGATTGAAATCGTTGGTTCATAGCTTCAAACCGATAATTTAATTCGGAACCAAAATATAGTGTGTCGTAATTGGATAATAATTTCTAGTAATATAGTTCAATTGTGACTCACTATATTTTGGTTTCGAAATTAGAGGTTTCAAACCATGAACAACGATTTCAATCATGAACCGACATTTTTTTACAAAAAGTTCAATCTATAAGAATAAATTTCCAGGGATAAGTTGGGACAAGAAATCACATGGAAAATTCCAATGCTTGATTGGTTAAATTCCAAGTTTTTTTGCTTAAACCAACCCTTTAATAGCTTCTTTCATTACCGCCACCAATTCCTCTAGTTTTATAATGTCACCCTCTTGTTTATTTATCAATTCATCTTGTTTTTTTATTCGCTCGTTTTGGACGACTTCATTCTCACAGGCTTGTCGCACCATATTAGTTTTTTCAACCGTCAACTCTTTTATGCGATTATCTTTCTCATCTTCCTTTGCCTTTCGGAGAGCTTCCTCTCGGTTGGATTCTCAGAGCTTCTTCGATTCGGTTGATTCTCTCTTGCAAGGCTTTCATATGGTAGGATTGTCAAATGGTTCCGATAAACAACATTGCTCCGACCCGCGTTGCAATCCGGTGAAGTGTTTGCGTTGAAAATCTATGGCCATTTGAAGGGGCAGCCTCAAGAAGTATTGACCGACTCTGAAATCGAATATCGGCTTGGATACTTCAATCCACGAAAAGACACAAAAGCAACCATCATCATAATGATGATTGCCTTTTCGTCATTTTTGTGCTCCAACCCGACCGATATGGTGATGATGGAAGCGAGGAAGATGAAAAGGATGGTGACAATCCATCCTCGTCTCTTTCGGAACAAGGGAGTCTCCTTCAAAGCGTGGCCCACACCATATCCTATACCAACAAAAGCAAAGGTAGCAAAGGACGGGATGAATGGTAGCCAAGCTTTAATCCGACTTCGGCTTGGTCCATTACTTTCTTGGTCTTCCTCTCCAATGGACAATATTGTTTTATATGAACAATGAGAGTGAGAATGAGATAAAGATATGGGGGATGCATGGATGCATGTCGAAGCAGATGTCTTTCTTGTCTTGGAAAGCTTTTAGTAGTCGTACGTGTAGATTGGTTGCTGAAGAGAGCCGAAAAAGATGCTAAGTCCGAGTTGGAAAATGAGAAGACACGAAGAGAGGCGGTTGAAAAATGCATTAAGGAGTTAAAGAGTGAAGTCGAGAAGTCTAAGGGAGTGAAAGACCGTGTACATGAGGAATCAAACATCAAACACCAAAAGTGAACAAGGAGATGGCGAGTTGGTGGCAGGTACGCAAGACATATCCCTAAATATCTCTTGAAATTTCTTTTGAACTTCTTAGATTTTGGTTGATGTTCGGTTTTAGTTCCGAAATTAGTGGTTACAAGCCATGAACCAACGATATATTTTGGTTCACTGATTGAAATCTTTGGTTCATAGCTTGAACCGCTAATTTCGGAACAAAAATATAGTGAGTCATAATTGACAAGAACCAAAATATAATGAGTCATAATTGGATAATAATTTATGTTGATCTAGTTGAATTATGACCCACTACATTTTGGATAAAAATTTGGGTAAATAGCACTTAACCCCTTTGTGGTTTGGACATTTTGCACAAGACCTTTATGGTATGAAATTAGACACATAATTCCCTTGTGGTTTGGACATTTTGCACATGACCCCTTTATGGTATTAAACTAGACACATAATCCCCTTGTGATTTTGACATTTTGCACATGACCCCTATCTGGTATGAAATTAGGCACATAACCCCCTTAAATAGAAAACTTGAAAAGACTAAATTACCCCTAAAGAATAAATACTTTTGTTTCTTAAAAAAAAAAAAAAATCGATAACAACTATAATATAATATATTATATAGAAATAGTAAATAATAATCATAATTAATGATAATATTAAAACTTTGAAATATGTAGAATTTTTTGACCGAATTATAATTGAACAAACAAATTGATAGTTCATAATTTTAAATCGAGTTTAATCCTCTTACATTTGATTTGTAGCATATGAGATTTTTCAAATTGGTTACTAAAATGGAATAAATTGTCAATTGTACAATAACTAATATTATATATCTTTTGTGTTTTATAAAATTAAAAAACACAATAATATATTATATTTCTCATTTAAAAAAAATACATTAAACTTTTCATTTCATAGAATAGTTATTTTTAAATTAAAACAAGAAATTTTGACTTGATAGAGTAACCAACGAACAGTTGGTATGGTTGCAATTTGGCTAAACTTTAGGGGTAATTTAGTCTTTTCCAGTTTTCTATTCAATGGGGTTATGTGCCTAATTTCATACCATAAAGGGGTCATGTGCAAAATGTCAAAACTAAAAGGGGGTTATGTGCTTAATTTCATACCATAAGGGGGTCATGTGCAAAATGTCCAAACCACAAGGGGGTCATGTGCCTAATTTCATACCATAGGGGGGTTATGTGCAAAATGTCCAAACCACAAGGAGTTTAAGTGTTATTTACCCTAAAAATTTCTACTGATCTAGTCATAATTGGATAATAATTTTCGGATCTTTGGATGCAACTTTAATGAGAGTGTTCATTTTCAGCCAAAATGAGATAGTTGCATTTTTTGGTTCTAATTGCGATCATGGTTGGTCCAATTGTACTTTTCCCAATGGCATACGTTTGTAGGATCGAACAAGTTGGAAAATGACCGCTATTTTAAACCTCCTCACAAGTGGAATCACAATCGAAGTAGCGCAAGCGTTCCGAAACAACCACAAGCATGACATTATCTCATTATACACGAATGCACACCTCTTAAATCCACGAAACACGTATCGAACTTATGTAGCAGGAACACTACATGAAGCTAGAATGTCCACGTTTTTGTTTATTCTTAAAACCCCATGGAATTAAAAAATTACCAACAATAAGAGAAGAAAAAAGAAAAAAAATGGTGGAAATGCAACCTCTGTACCAGCTTTGATGTTCCAACTGCACCTTCAAAGCACCCTTAGCTTGCTCCATTGTTGTTCTTCAGAATTACTTGTGCTTCTTGCAAGCTAGGTCGAGGATGACCTCCTCATGTTCCTTATTATTACGCTTTGTAAAGGTTCAGTACAACTTCCTTCAGCTCCTTGACCCCCTTTTCAAGTTCTTAGATCTTCTCTTGTTCTACCTCCCTCGACTTTTGCGAGCGCCCCTATCAGTTTCTTGATTTGATACAACTTTATCTTGGCTTCATCACTACTAGCTCTTTTAATTAACGCTGCTGGAATAGGTTCAAATGATACGCATTCCAAAAAGTACCAAATATAAGCAAGGCTGATGCAAGAAAGTGCAATGTCACAAGTTTTTCTATTAAGGCTATTAAGTTTGTCTAGCTACGTACATAACAAGTCAATTGGTTATGGGATTACGGTTCCACTTAATGATCGTATCATATATGATCCATTGATCTTTTAACATAAAAATAAAATGTTATTAAAATTAGGGATGTATATGATTCGAGTTGACTGTATAATTGTTCAAACTTATAATTTGAAATTTTACGAAGTTTTATGAATGTTTGAATTTGATTGATAATCAATGGAGTTGAGATATTTCAATTTAAACATAACAAATATGATTCATTTTTACCATACTAACTTTAGATTTAATACATTAGTACAATCATAAATTATGGAGATGATAATGAATTTTGAGATAGAGAATAATATTTATTTATTGAGACTTGTTATTTGGGGAGAAAGTGATAAATTAGTGGGCGGAAAACATTTGTTTGAAATAAGGGAACAATAGACATGGGTGAGAATGTATAACATTAATTATTTTCCATTAGTTAATTAATTCTGACCAACCAATTTAACTTCCATATTTTTTTAATTAATTACTTAATAATACCGAGAAAAAAAACTCATATTTTCTTTTACCCTTTCTTTAAGAGATTAAATAAAAAACGGGCGTACCATTTACCACCAAAAAACGGATTTAATACTATTTTTTATGATGCAAAATGCATCCCAATTCCCATGTCGATTACTTATGCAGCTTTAACCAAAAAAAATGATGTTTTGATCTTGAAAATACATATACCAAAATAATGTAAGTTTTATTGAATTTTTATGTACTTTGTTGTAATTTCCATAATGAACCGTTGGTTCAAATAATAATACTTAAGATTGAATTGGGAGGATCGGACTTAATTGGGGTATTGGGCCACCGTCGTAACATATATATTCAATATTATCGGCCTCATCAATCATTATTTACCTTACCACAAATTGAAACTTGTCCAATTTTATTTTGTTTATATAATAAATGTTTTAATAGTTTATGGGCCTGGTAGAGACGAACTTGATGCAAATAAAAAGTATCAAACCGGGTAGCAGTTCGAATCGGGTCGGTCGTTGTAAAAAGTAATTTTTTTAAAAAACAAAATTATTTACGGATAAGCCCTCTGAAAGAGTAAAACCTCAAACATCCCCCCGCATTATATTGTCAGCAAACAATTGTACCTTTATTCATCCATTTCAACATGGTGGTGGCCTATCTTCTATGCACTCCGACCGGCCATCTCAATGCCCAAACCAGGATTCTTCTGTGCAATTCAATTCATATGAATAGAATTTCTCTGTCCACTGCAAATGGGTCTGGAATCTTTGTTCGTCCTCAATTTACGCATCTCCGCTCTTTACGGGTTTCGAGTGGCGGCGGAGGTGGTGGTGCGTCTGGAGGTTCCGGCGATGGAAGCTCTGGCGGTGGAGGTGGCGGTGAGGATGATGGGAGTGACTGGTCACTGCTTTCATGGTAACTAATTTTTACAATTTGCCTACTCCTGCATTGTGCTTGGGATTTTTTTTCCTTCCAAATTTGATTTAGTGGATGTTAAAAATACAATCTTTGTCATGCATTGTATATATATATATATATATATATATATATTAGACTAAGGTGGTTTCTTGGTCCTAGGACTGTTGAATAGAATTGTTTTAATTCAATAATGTATGCTGATGTTCCTAAAAAGAGTTGCTCTTATGATGTTTCTCAAGTGTTTGTGCACCGTAGTTAATTGAAGATGTTAGGGCATAAACAAGAAGTTAGCCTGCATGCCAATTAGGCGTTCGAAAACTTGGTTTTCAATGGGATTATGCACTCATACTCGGGGAACATACTTTATCCATGTAATTATTGCTAATTATGGATGTAATTCTTGCAAATATTTGTATGTAGGTATTTGTCTCTTCTTGCCAAATATCCTGTGATGACAAAGGCTGTTACCTCGGCCCTTCTAACCTTTGTTGGTGACGTCATTTGTCAGGTAAATTTATTTAGTACCAGTGATAGTAATCATAATAAACTATTCTCAAGTAAACTATTTAGTTGGTCGGAAACTCGGCAACGATGCTTTATGAATGGATTCTTAGCTGACAAGTACAAGTTTCAGCGAATCATAACTTGTTATTTGAAATACATCTTACTTGCTCCTCGAGCAATTTTCTAATATCCTTCTTTTTTTTTTGTTGGGCACTATGCTCCTCAGCTTGTGATTGATAAAGTACCATCTCCAGACTTGAAGCGGACATTTATTTTCACACTGTTGGGGCTCGTTTTGGTGGGTCCCACGTTGCACTTCTGGTAATTGTCTCAAGATAATTTTATCTCTTGTACCAATCAAATATTGATATAGTAGGAGCTTTCTCACTATTGCTTACCAAAATAAAAATCATCTATGTTTTTTTTCTGTTCTTGTTTTTGTGATGCCTATACAGCTTATTATCTTTATCGAGGTCCACACAAACTTGATGTGTTATCATGTTTCAGACATGAATTAACTTGTAATATTACATATTTAGGTATCTATATTTGAGTAAACTGATTGCTGCACCCGGAGCTTCCGGCGCTGCCTTTCGGCTTGTGCTTGATCAGGTGATATTTATATAATATATTTTTTCTACTGTCTCTACACCGTAAGTAAACCTCAATTAACTTCCAATCTTTCTAATATATGCAGTTTCTTTTTTCTCCCATTTTTATTGGAGTGTTCCTATCTACATTAGTGACACTTGAGGGAAGGCCGTCGGATGTGATCCCAAAGCTAAAACAGGTGCTGTTACATATTATTCCTTATTTTTTTATTTTTTTACTAAAGCATACACAATTGTTTATACTCCAGAAAATTTTAAAAAAGTAATGTCTTAACCTTTGTTTGTAGGAGTGGTTCTCGTCGGTTCTTGCAAATTGGCAGCTCTGGATACCTTTCCAGTTCCTCAATTTCCGATTTGTACCTCAACAATTTCAGGTTTGGTTAATTTGTAGGCTAATAAAATGGTTTAGAATTCATGATTATGGTGACGGTGCAAGAGGAGAATCCAACGGAAAATTCATATGCATCGTCTGTTTGACAGGTACTTGCTGCAAATTCAATTGCGTTAATATGGAATGTGATTCTTTCGTATAAAGCTCACAAACAAGTTATTGCGAAATAGGTAAATCTCTTGTCAGTCATTGTGTAGCAATTTATCTTATCGAACAATTTATCTGAACGAATTATGTTGGAAGGGCAGGATGGAGGCTCGTTTCTTAATGACGTCGATTTTGGTAGCTTAATTCACTGTGATGCAACAGTAGATTTCCTTTAATTAATTATTGTCTGATGCAAATTAATTTGTCTCTCTATCTTTTTTTTTGGGGGTCTGATTTGGCACTTGATTTTGTTTCCAGCAGAGAAAGTTCTCACGCAGTTGGTGGGAATAAACAAATTCTGACCAAGTGCATAATTAATTATATAAATAGAGAGTTGATATTATTAAATAGGATGAAAACGTGGATTTTGTACTAAAATAATTGCCCAATCATAGAAAAGAAATGGAATAACAGACAGGTACACAAAATAAGCCAGCTCAAAGATTCAAATCTTGAGAATTACAAAAAAGAATAGACAGACAGTTTAAGTTGTTACTCCCTCTGTCCCATATTATATGTCTTTTTAGAGAGTTTTTTTTGTCCCAAATTATTTGTCATTTTAGATTTTCAATGAAGCATTAATTGCATTATTTTCAATTTTACCCTTAATCACTCATAATTAATTAGTTGACAATCAATTAATATTGAGGATATTTTAGTAATTTTATCTATTTTTTACTATAATCTATGCACATTTATTGATTTTATTAATATGTGCAAAATAACCCAAAACGACATTTAAATTGGGACGGAGGGAGTAATAAGTAACAATTTGAGTGAAAGTGTTGCAGCATTATTATTATATATATATTGTCACTTTCAGGATGTGAATCTATGCGGGAAAAAAAGGTGAATTAACTAATTTGAATTTAATGAAAGAAAAAGTGAGTAGAATCTGTGTTAATTAGCAAAAGAGTTTAAAGATAACTCCAAAGTGGGTCATTAATTTGTGGATGGATTATATAATATAAACCATAAAATCTAGAATTGTAGTTGCCTACTAATTTGTTTGTACTAGTAATTAATTGTTGTGTATAAGTCTTTGAATAATTTAATGATGATGGGGGGGGAGGGCCCCTAGTAGTAAGTAATACACGCAAACCTAATTTGACCAAGGAAATTTCCCAGAAATAAATACTATGACTTGATCAACTGCCAACAGATACTTAATTTTTATAAGCATCCCAAAGAAAAGAAGTAATGTAATAAAAAAAAAAAAAAAAAAAAAGGTTGGGTTTTTATTTGGATGTTACATCTGAATATGGGGGCCACGGCCGACCATGACAGGATGGCAATAATCTCTCTCATTCATTCATGATTCATCAATTCTAACTATATTTCAAAGACTTTCTCCTCCATCTTGTTTCTTCTTCTTCTTCTTCTTTGTTGAGCTCAACTATATTGAAAATTACATAAATGGAGAAAAATCAGTTTGAAGATCATTTTCCGACAAGCCCGTTAGAAGCAACCTCGGATAGGTCGTCATCATCTTCCTTGTCCCAAAGCCCCTCTTCCTCAGATCATTCCACTGCCTTCACCGGTAATATATATTCCCAAAACAAACTCACCATTTCTTTTTATTATTATTGGCCAGTTTCAAAGAAGATAATAAAAATTGTTTCTTGATTTTTTTTTTTTTGGTGCAGAAAATGGGGAAAGATGTGGCAAGAATCATCACAAGAAGAAACTCGAAAGAAACGGAGGCAGTTTTGCTTATCGAATACGCGAACACGGTATGTATGTGTGTGTAATCAAGATTTATGATATGTGATGAGTTGTTACAAAACAAAGAATGATTGGGATTGGGATTTGGTTGCAGTGAAAATGGGGCCTAATTTATCGGAAACGGTGAAGGGGAAGCTGATTGTGGGGGCGAGAATAATAAAGAAAGGAGGGAGAGAAAATATATTTAGGGAGATATTTGGTGTTTGTGATGGAGAAAAACTGCTAAAGGCATCCCAATGCTATCTGTCAACAACAGCAGGTCCAATAGCTGGGATTCTATTCATCTCAACCGAAAAGATTGCTTTTTGCAGTGAGAGATCCATTACAGTCAACTCCTCATCTGGTGCCCTTATGAGGATACTTTACAAGGTAATTACTACACAATGATATTATTCATTTGTAATAATATATATAGTTGAAATTTGTGTGTTGATGGATGAGAGTGGGTGGTGCAGGTGTCGATACCGGTGAAGAAGATAGAAGAAGCAAATGAGAGTGAGAATGTGAACAATCCAGCACAGAAATACATTGAGATAGTTACTCAAGACAAGTTTGAGTTTTGGTTTATGGGTTTTCTCAGATACGAAAAGGCTTTTTTCAATCTCCAAAGGGCCATTTCCATTTCTAAACAATCAACTTAATTTTGTACAAAGCTCTGTTTGTCTTTTTTTTTTTTTTTGTGACAGTTTGATGATGAGGTGTTTGTTACAAATATTAGATTATTTGTTTTCAGTAATTTTTTTTTTTTTTGGTTAGGTTGGATAAGGTTTTTTTGTTTTTGGATGGTACATTGGTTGAAATAGATAGGTGTTTATTGAGACATAATAATATTGATGTTGGTGTGGAAAGCAGATGATATGTATATAAGAAAAAGATTTGTTTTGTTTGTATATTGAATGAGAGATAGATAGCCTGTTATGTAATACATCAGAATCAAAAAAATGTTTAGCTTCCTTTCTCATGTGGAAATGAAAGAATCAAAAAGGAATTAAAAATTTCAAAGTCGAAGTTAAGACGTAGAGGATAGAACAAGTAAGTATGATATATGAACGATGAGCAAGAAACCGATAATAAAAGTATACAGAATAAAGTAATGAAGCAAGTAATTAAGTAATGAGGTGAATAAATATGTATGTGGCTGCGCTGAATCGAGAAAAGGCCGGCTTTTATAATTGGTGTTGTAAATACAAAATAAATAATTGAAGAGCAAATTAAACCCAACCCGACCCGACCCATAAGTAAAGAGGATGGGATGGGATTTGGAATCAGGTAGTAGTACCGGGTGGGGAACCAGGGTCGTGGTGGTTATTAGCACCAGTCCCTGTGTAGTCTGCTATTTCTATGTCCATTCTCTCTTTCTTCTGCACATCAATCAATCCATTATAAATAAATAAAACTTTTATTTATTTCAATAATTTATCCATATATTATTTAAATAGAACTTTTATTCACCTGGAAATCATGATGCTGCATCCACATCTTTTCATCAACATCACTGATTGACTTGTTCTTCTTCAGGCTTCTCCCTGCAAATAAACATATATGATACATACATGTGTGTGTGTGTGTGTGTGTAATATATGAGAATGGATGTAGATAGGAGATCGATTGCTTACTTGAAGAAGAAGGGAATGAAAATGTGGAAGGTGGAAGAGATGAGAAAGAAGATAATAATAATAATGAGAGCAGCAGCAGCAGCATAAAAAGGAAAATAAGAGGGATTTTTGCTTTTTTGTCTTTCATTTTCATTTCATGTGATTATTCAGAATACAAGGGAAGATGTTTCCAGAAACCAAAAAGAATAGAATAGACTATAGAGGATGTATGTGTGTGTGAACACTCAAGTAACAATTCAACAAGAAAATGATGATGATGATGATGATGTAGTATAATATAATTAATTAGTTATAAAGTCAACTTTGAAAGCACATCACATTGACTGACATGATGTATGTATGTATGATGTGTGGGTGTTTATTGGCCACTACTTGCCTAACATGATACATAACAATCACCACCACTCCAGGGCTACTTTCAAATTATCTATCTTTCAACTGCTACTGCTGGACTGGGACTGGACTGGACACCTCCATTATATATGTTACATAGTACCCACCACTAATAATACCTATTCATTACATAATTAAACCTTTTTTTTTTTATTAATAATCAAATCTCCTCCAAAACAATATCTATAAACTACCAAAGGAAGATACAGTACTAGTGCTATTTTTTAAGCATGTTTACTCATAAAATCAATTATTATATTTTTAACTTATATAAGTCAGTTAATGAGCGAGCTTATAAACAACTAATACGAGACTCCGGGTCTCCAAACTTCAGCTCAGTCGCTGCTAATGAGCTAAAGTTCCGCTCGTTTCGATTTGTGGAGATGGTTCATGAGACCGATATTGAATATTATGTAGACACTGACTGCCCCATTCATTATATTATGTGTTAGGTGGTTCCTCCTAATTCCTCTCCATCTTATTAATACAATAATTACAAAATTTATTTAAATAATCAAATCTTTGGTTTCAAAAAGAAAAAAAAAAAGTTTTATTGATTCTTCAAGAAAAAGAAAAAACATATACAACAAAGCACTCTTGACAATTGAAAAAGGTTTATTGCATATTTATTAATTATTATTATTGTCACAAAGCTAAGTACGTAAACCAAAGGTTTCAAGCTTTCTTAAACATAATCGGAAATGGGGTGACATCATCGGTGAGCGTGAGCCCCAAACGCCTCTTCCCATCTTGCACCACAATCCCCACATCTCTGCATATTACTTTGCAGAAATTGCAAACAGTCGGGCAAAACAAAAGCTTGTAATCACTACTTCCATACGCTTCGATCTTGAACCAGTTGCTTATACTTCCACTCCCTGGATTCCCTTCCACTCCTCCCGTATTTACGAAATACTTTCCCGTCGACTCATCATTATCGAGCCTCCACACTGTTGACTGTACGCATATCGTGGAAGCGGAAAACTTGATGTTGTGATCGGTCGATAAACGGACCACGCCTTTCTTGGGGTCAACGGGGTGAAAAGTCAACGGGAGCCCCTTTTTGAGTTCCGATTGTTCTTGGACGACGCTGAGTGGGCAAGTGTTGTTGCCGGTGCTGGCCAATGAGAGGCCGCCACCTCGGCCTCGTATGACCGGCAGTATGTAGTAGTTGACTCCGGCCCGGAGCTCTTTTCCGGAGATGTCGAGCACCGGAGGGGGTGCTTCTGCAGCTGAAGAGAGTAGAGGGATGGTGTGAATGGAGAAGAGGATGAAGCAGAGTGAGAGGTGAGTAGCTGTTGTCTTCATTGTTAGTTCTTACGTACATGCAATTAACTAGATAATGTGGTCTGTCTTATATATATATATCTTACATCTAAAGCCAGCCCCGAGTTGGCAGGCATGTGGAGTTAAAGAAAGATGTGGCTGCACGTACACTACATTACAGCCAATCTGTTGACCAAATCTCACTCTATTCCCCGGTCAAAATCGACTGCAAAGTCAATGTTAGATGCTCACAGAAAGTCAACGCGTCCACATGTGATAAACTACACAAATTCATTCAATGGTCAAAGTTGAGAAAAGGAACTCTATCAAATATCAATTTTCTATTCCGTACCGAAAATGTGCATTGACAGCAATCATATGAAAATGTGCATTCTGAAGAAGAGGATAATAAGATAACAGGATACATGATGACTAGCTCCATCTTTACATGGACACCTAATATATAATTAAGTAAAAAACGATAGATAGGGCGTCCCTATATCACGGATCATTACAAGTTATGTTTAAATTGTTTTAGACTTTTGGTCCAGCTAAGAAAATAAACAAGAGATTTGGTCGATTTGTTCTAGAATTCATTAAGTGCCGATATAAGCAGGAAACAGTTTGTAAGACCCAATATCTAACTTGTGATCGGATGGAGAAAAAAGTCAAATGATATCGCATTAGAACATCCAAGGGAAATACAGATTTCAGTCTCAAGCTAGATGGCATTCATTCATTCATGGTATTTGCTTTACTTGTACTACTGACTCACCTAAATAATCAACTCGAAAACAATGGCAATACTATTACAGCATTACTTTTCTCAACAAAGATTTTTCACCCCTTGGAGTTTCTTGATTTCTTTATGTAGTTCTCATGTTTATTCAAAGAAAAATAGGCCAGTGTCTAATTTAGATTGTTCAATCACTCCATCCAGAACGATGACTATGCTATCTCTGACATAGTGTCGTGAAGATTCAGCAAGGAATTCATGAACGACGCCATTCACTTCAATCCAACTACAACCAGGTGTTTTCTTGATTCTTCGGTCTCTCATCATTTTCATTGCCTTTAATGCTTCCCCCCACCTATTTTTCGACCGATAGATACTCCAAAGAAGTATATACACCGCATCGTCATCTGGTTCTAGTTCAACTACTTTCTTCCCCGCCACTTCAGCCAATCCCAAATCTCCATGTTCCAAACAAGCACCAAGAATGGATCTCCATATAATAGCATCAGGCTTCATTGGCATACTCTCAATCAACACTAACGCTTTCTCCAAACATCCCGCTCGAACAAAAAGATCCACCATACACCCAAAATGCTCGATCTTGGGCTTCATATGGTACCTATTTACAAAATTTTCAAATAATTTCTCTCCCTCGGTAACTAATCCTGCATGGGTGCAAGCTAATAGAACCGATAAAAAAGTAACTTCATTTGGAACCGACCCAGATGCCACCATTGAATCGAAAACCAGAAGGGCATGTTTACCTCTGCCATTTATTGCCAAACCAGAAATCATTGTAGTCCATGAAAATAAATCCTTTCTCCTCATGCTATCAAATAGCTTCAGAGCAGAATCAAGATTTCCACTTTTCCCGTACATATCAATCAACCCATTATTCACAGTAATATCTAACCCGAACCCTATGCGTTTGATAATGTGCCCGTGAATTGAACTTCCTAAATTCAGTGCCCCAATATCTGCACAAGCAGAAAGCACGGCAACAACAGTTACTGTCGTGGGGGTACAATCTTCTCCAGAATCTGCATGTCTCATCCTTGTGAACAACTCCAAGGCCTCGATTGGATTCTTCTTGCGCACATACCCCACTATCATTGTAGTCCAAGAAACCACATTTCTTTGGGGCATATCATCGAACACTGCCTTGGCAGATTCCACATCGTCATTCAAAAGGTATCCATTGAGTAAGCTAGTCCAAATGGCAACATCCTTAAAATTGATGCTACCAAACACACGTTGAGCTAAGTCAACTCTTCCGTTTTTCCCGTACATATCTATCAAGGCGTTGTGTACACTAGGCCTGGGTTTCTGAAGATACTTGTACGTCATGCCGTGGATTATACTTCCATTTCTTAGGTCCTTGCGGCGCGCGCAAGCGGAAAGAGCAGCAACTACGGAATGAGAATCAGGTTTAACGAAATCAGACAACAACAACTCAGAAAATACCACTAAAGTTTTCATGGGTTGTTTACATTTGAGATAAAGATTCTGAAGAGAGGTCCATGAGCTAACATCTGGGCTTGGCATTAGCTCGAACACTTTCCGGGCTTCAACTAATTTGTTGAGTTTTGCATAAGCATCGAGCAGTCTGCAGTCGAATTCATGCTGAAAGATGCCGGTAGTTATGCTTTGGGCGAGGATTTTGTTGACAATGTTGTAATGGCTACCCCATTTTTCCAGCAGGGTTTTCAGCTTATCAAAAGAAGCGGCTTGGAGTTCATTGATTTGAATATGTTTCATTGAATAAATCAAAGGTGGTGGTGGTGAACTTATGGTAGTGGTGGTGCTGGACTGGTGGTTGTGGCGGTGGTGGTTCTTCAACAAAGAAAGAAGGGATTTGAAGTTGAACTTGGCTATTTTACCGCCATTTGTGCTTTATAATGCTTTCTTTAAAGGGCAAAAACGTCAGGTTATTTTTTACAAACGTAATTATCCGGATATTTTTTTGTCGGCTGCGAGTGGAATGATTAGCCTTAATTTCGGCCGTCCATTTCACTCCGCTGCCGGCCGGAGTCCACGGCGGGGTTCCGAGAAACCAGCCACTCGCCTAACAATATCATGTTCCAGTTCTCTTCTCCCGAATAAGGTGAGTCTGTATAATCTAGATACAACACTCTAAACCTACTGTGTACATAAAGGAGCTCTGTACGAAAATAGGGCCATGTAAACTTCTTTCTTGTGGAAATTTTGAGCAGTTTAAGAGGGCGTACACGAGTGTGATGATAGTGCCAACTGGAGTAGGAGCGGCGATTGGCGGCTACGCCGGAGATGCTTTGCCGGTGGCTCGAGCCCTCGCTTCTGTTGTTGACTGCCTCATCTCTCATCCCAATGTATATTTTCTCTCTTTAATCTTATGCATTCATATCAAAATTGAAACTTGTTTCTTATTTTTTTTTTTTGGGTTGGAAACTCGTGAGCTTTAAAATGGGGAAATAGCTGCTACTTTTTTTTATTAAAGGTAACAACTTTCTTCAAATTAGCATCTTAATTAGAGATTAATCCTCGCGAATTACTCGACTATGTACAAAATTATGTTGAAGATATCTTACAACATTTGTAATATCATCTGACCAAATATGTTCCAATTTGACGGTTTATCGAGAAGCTGACTGGTTTTATTTTCTAAAAGCCGTTTAAGACGATTTCGTATGGTGTCATTTCTTTCTTAAATTCTGTAATTCTGAACAGGTTCTTAATGCAGCAATGCTTTACTGGCCGATGTCGAATGTCCTATACGTAGAGGGCTATGCACTGGATAGATTTGCCGAAGGGCTTTGGGGACTAGAACCAGTTCATCAGAATAAGGTGGCTCCTCATACATAAGTTAAATCACAAAATATGTTATTTGTATCTGTCTGAACATGACAAGTAATATAGTGTGCAACCCATGAACTAGGTAGGGCTAGTTCTTGATGCGGGGATAGAAGAAAGCCTTCGTGTTCGTCATTTACAGGTGGTGGATGCAGCTAGGGCTTCTCTTGGTTTGCCCGTTATTGAATATACTGTCACAGATGCTGCTCTGCAGGTATGCGCGAAAATAGCTGATCAGTTAATTGTTTAGTGGACTTTATGGAGTCATATATTGTAAGATCTTTGTAAGACCTGTATAATTAACCACAAATGAACTGCGCAATTACTTCACTTAGTTTCACTCATGCAAATGCTTCAAGCAGTTCATTTGCAGTAATGGTATTTCTCAACATAAAAACTGTACCGTCTTTAGTTGTCGAAAGTAAAATTTTCAAGCATTTTTTTTTTTTTTTGAAATCTAGACTTTTCGTAATCTACTAATAATCGATTATCACATAATGGTATGTAATGTGACATTGACCCAAATAAATGTCTTTATTCATGTAGTATGAGATCTAAGTTATATCAACAAGACAATGGTTAACTTCACTGAACTTGTATATATAAAGGTGGAGAAATGGATAGACCCCAAGAGTGGACAATCAACTGGTAGAATCCAACGTCCCGATTCCCTATTAAGGGCAGTGGGGACATTAGTAGAGAGATCTGGAGTGAATGCCGTAGCAGTCGTGGCACGTTTCCCCGATGACGACAATAGTGATGATGATGTGGAAAATTATCGACAAGGGAAGGTACGAATTATTATTTATTAAAGTAGAGATGTGTATGTCGTGGTGTATTGAGTAAATAATAATAGAGGTATTTGGGAGTGCAGGGAATTGATGTATTGGCAGGTGTAGAGGCTGTGATAAGCCATCTAGTGGTGGAGAAATTCAAGATTCCTTGCGCGCATGCTCCTGCATTATTACCTTTCCCGTTGAGTCCTTCATTATGCCCAAAATCAGCTGCTGAAGAGGTGCATCATATGAGATATTTTCCATAAAAATAAATTATTCAACTGCTTAGAGGTTTTGTGATATGTATATATATTGTGTGTGACAGATAGGGTACACGTTTTTGCCATGTGTGCTAGCTGGGCTGAGTTCTGCTCCGCAGTACTTGGTGCAGAAAGAGTCGTTGGGAAGAATGAGCAGTAGTATAGTAGTAGGTAGTGATGTTGACAGTGTGATTCTACCGGTAGATGCTTTTGGAGGAGATGCTGCTCTTGCGTTTGCTTCAATGAGAAATAATAGGAGGCCACTTATAATTGCTGTTGAAGAGAATGAAACGGTTCTCAGCGATACACCTGAAAAACTTGGTATTACAGCGGTACGTTCTATAAACGACTGCTGCTGCTATTCTTCTTCTTCTTCTTCTTCTTCTCTTTATTAGAGCACTACGGGTGGTTGTTGATTGGTGGTACAAGTGCAGGTGAGGGTATCGAATTACTGGGAGGCAATAGGAGTTGTTGCAGCTCACAAGGCAGGAATAGACCCCTACTCCCTCAGGAAAGACAGAATCGACAACGTACCACATTCTATTATTAATACTAATACATCTTCCAACAATGCCTATGCTGCTGCTGCTGCTGCTGCTGCTGTGTGTGAGACCATTTCTTAGCTTAAATATCGACAGGCCAAGTTCATTTTCTGTGTATTCTTGCACTCAAATATTCTTTCTAGTTCATACTCTTAGTACAATCACTCTCTGTTTCATTCTTACATACTTCACACTTCACATACATTAATAAAAATGATTGAATTTTTCACACCTACATTATTTTAATGTCTTATCTTATATTTGATTTTTCTAATATATGTAGTATTCCAATGTTTTTTAATAACAATTATATGTATTTTTAATAAAATGTGAGAGCACTTATTGTAATTCAATTTAATGGATTTTTAAAAAATGGGTCTGCTATATCTTTCTGAGGGTACTTTTGTCAATCCACAATGTTTACTTGTGCCAATATCATCGTCGTCTTCTCTTGTTAATTCTTATCCCCTCTTTTATCAAGTGAATACACACAAACACACACTTGATGAGCTGAAATTCTTGACGGCGAACCAAGTTTTCACCCAAAACTATTAAGCAAAGGAGAAAACTAATATTGGCCATGGAAGCATCACGATTGATCAACTCAGTCGCCACTTTTCACACCCTATCTCCAAAACCAACCAACTTTAATCCAAGAATCCACTTGACCTCCCTTTTGCAAAAGCAGTGTCGCATAAATCCTGGAAAGATTTACACCATAAATCAAAAGCTTGTTGCGGTTCAAACCAGCGACAATGATAATGACGAGGAAACCCAAGTAAAAGAAATTCCTACTGCTAATTGGGAGGCAGAGTTTCTTGGGGTTATAAACCCAAACGGCAATTTGCCCCCTCCCAAGAAGAAAAAGCAGCTCAATACGAGATTACTGCCACAAAGTGGTGAAAATGACTGGTGTGTTAGGGCTAGAAAGGTTGCTTTGAAATCTATTGAAGCCAGAGGTTTGACTGAGAGAATGGAGACCTTGGTCACTGGTGTCAAGAAGAAAAATAAAAAGAAGAAAAAGAAACCCAAAATTGATAAAGTACGCAAACGGAGCTCCAGCGACGACGAGGATGATGATGATGATGATGAGATGGAAGAAGAAGAAGAGAATGATGTGGACTTACAGATCGATGATCCGTATTTTGATGCGGATTTTTCGGATAAGACAAATAATCTTAAGAGGATGGTAAGTAATCTTGACGGTGGAATGTTCCAAGAAAGGAAGGAGAAATCTATGGAAACATTTGTTGAGAGGCTTTCGCAGTTTTCGGGTCCTTCTGACCGAAGGAAAGAAGTCAACTTGAACAGGTCGATTGTGGAATCTCAGACTGCTGAGGAAGTCTTGGAGGTCACTGCTGACATCATCATGGCTGTTGCGAAAGGGCTCACCCCTTCGCCTCTTTCACCATTGAACATTGCCACGGCATTGCATAGGATTGCCAAGAACATGGAGAAAGTGTCCATGGTAAGGACTCGTAGGTTGGCATTTGCTCGGCAGAGAGAGATGTGTATGCTTGTGGGGTTGGCAATGGCTGCCTTGCCTGAATGCTCGGCGCAGGGAGTTTCCAACATTGCGTGGGCCTTGTCCAAGATTGGTGGGGAGCTTCTTTATTTGTCTGAAATGGACAGGGTGGCTGAGGTGGCTTTGACTAAAATAGCAGACTTTAATTCGCAAAATGTTGCTAATATGGCCGGAGCTTTTGCTTCTATGCTGCACTCTGCTCCAGAGCTCTTTGCAGAATTGTCGAAGAGGGCATCGGATATAATCGACACTTTTCAACCACAAGAAATAGCTCAAGTATTGTGGGCTTTTGCTTCGCTCTATGAGAATGCAGACCCTTTACTCGAGTCTCTTGATAATGTGTTTAAGGATCTGAAACAGCTTAAATGCTGCTCCGTTAACGAAACATATAATAATCTTGTTGATGAGAGAGGAGCAAAAAACAGTGGGGATAGTTTATCTACTGAAGTTTCGGGCACTCCTACTATCACGTTTACTAGAGATCAGCTAGGGAATATATCTTGGTCTTACACAGTTTTAGGGCAGCTGAATCGTGTCTTCTTTTCCCATGTATGGAGAACTTTGAGCCATTTTGATGAGCAAAAACTTTCTGAGCAGTATAGAGTGGATATTACATTTGCTTCTCAGCTTAACCTGGTGAATCAGTGCCTGAAAATCGAGTACCCTCATCTTGAATTATCATTGTCTAATGAGTTGGAGAACAAAATTACAAGTGCTGGAAAAACAAAGAAGTTTAACCAGAAGGTAACTTCGTCGTTTCAGAAGGAGGTGTACCGTCTCCTCGTTAGCACTGGACTAGATTGGGTAAAGGAATATACTGTGGAGGGATACACTGTGGATGCAGCCTTGGTTGATCGCAGAGTTGCTCTCGAAATCGATGGGCTAACTCATTTCTCCAGAAATTCTGGTGTGCATTGTTTTTCTAATTTATATTGGCTTGTGAATAATTTTTCTTTTTTCCGCCCCCGCGTATATTTTAATCCACTGGTCACATGCATGTGTCTTTGCAGGTGTCCCTCTAGGGCATACTATGCTAAAACGTCGTTACATTACTGCGACTGGATGGAAGCTCGTATCACTGTCTCATCAAGAAGTAATTATTTTTTTTTGTTTTCTATTACTTTGTGTGTATAACTTAATCATCGGTTCGACTGTGTCATTCAGTTTTCAAAAATATATATGAGTAATTTAGATAAGTGTTCATACATGGTTAATGATTTTGTGTATCGTGACTTTGCAGTGGGAAGAAGTTCAAGGTGAATACGAGCAGCTAGAGTATCTCAGAAAGATTCTCGACGATCACATAGGTAAAGGAAGCAGCGATACTGTAGAATGGTAAATTGAGAGATCATAAAACACGTGATATTGACCTATTTAAAAAAACATTATATTGTATGTATGTCCCGATTTTGCATTGAGTCCTGATTTTCTTATCTGCGATTTGACTGACAATACACTAATCTATCGTTTTTAACTTTAAAACAATATTCGAGAAGAATTTCCAAGACTATACTCGTTTCCGATATTCATAATGCAATTGGTGAAGTTTCATATTTTGATTCATTAATTTATCTCATTACATGGCATCAAACTTCAATTGATTTCTTGTCCACTGTCTGTCTGGCTTCTAGAGGAAAACATAAGCAAGATTTCATAAACCAAAAAATCAAATATATAATATTTCATGGTTTCGAAATGTTTACAACAATCAAATTAAATTGAAATAATCGTTTTTAACAATGGGAATTCACAACTCCTCAACACCAAGTAAAATATGACCAACTGGCAACAGTAAGATTTATCAATTGTTACAATCATCTACATGAGAATTACTGTTCCAAGACTTGTTCAATTCACCCAATAAAAGAGGGAGAAAATAACTTGAATACTTCAGTTTCGATACTCAGACTTAAATGGATGTCAAATTAGTATGCCCTGCAACAAGACATACAGAAAGAGAGCAAATTTTAAAGAGAGCATAAACACACTAGAAAACAGCCTAATCTGACAAGACCACTAACCTCGGATCAAATGCCATCAACTCTCTCACAAATGGAGTTAACATCTGATACTTTCTTCACACTGCAAATTACCAAAAGAGGTATCTCACGTTAGTTAAGCGCACATACCATAATATATTGTGGATTCATATCAGTAAATATAGAAAGCACAAACAATCATAATTTTAAGATAAGATATAGAAGAAATAGCTAGAAGGGGCAAATTTTTCTCGCCGGATGTACCAAAAATCATTCTTACATATATGCTAACAAGTAAAATAAGCCTTTTCTATATGCGTAGAATTGTATGAAGACGCAATCACACCAAGTTATTGTCATCAAATATCAGCCTCTTAATGGATTAAATGTCAAAAGAAGATATTGCTTCGACGTACTTAAGCAGAATGTTTCTTCAACCCGTTACTAGACCTCCTAGACGATACAAGAATTGAGAGCCCTTGTAAAGAAAATATTAGGCACAAGAAGAACATACTTGTATAGAAGGTCACCACTAGGTTCCACTTTCTTATAAATCCAATCTGGAACCAGCTTCTCAAGGTTCTGAATTTGCGTTTCAACCTCACCTAATCATACAAAAAAAATAGATTCAGAAAACTCCAGAAAGGTGATAATAAGGGAAGGAAATAAGTGAGATCAAAGCATCTGAGCTTACCGTGGTCATCGATGTCGAAACTGTTCATAATAATCTTCTGAACAAGTTCTTCCTTTGTGATTGAACAAAAGTCAACTGATCGAAATATTTGGTGAATCAAGAGAACAAGGTCAGACGGGGAAAATGACTGTTGATTGTATGATAAGGTAGTGTGGTCACTATCCATGCTATAAAAATCTAATGACTTCTTAACAACTGAAGTGGAGTGCTTGCTGTTTTGGCTTGCTGTCTTCTTGTTCTTGTCTTCACATGTGAGCACCAATCTAGTTGGCGAAATCGACCTCATTGGAGTAGATTGTACTGGTGTTTCAACGAAAACACTGTCACTGCCTACAAAAGGCTTCATAGGAGTGCTCTCACTCATATTGACGGTGGAAGAAGAACCAGGAAGCGATGTTACGATTTCAATCTCTTCAATCTCTCCATTAACCTCAGAAGCACATTTCACAGGTGAAAGGATATCAGTCTTCTCAATCTCTACAGCAGCCGCAGCTTTGTGAAGGAAGTGTGTTTTAAATGAAGGATGGAGATGAGATGAATTTAACATCTCTTTCTCACACAAAGTTGACAAGTCCTCATAGATTAAGTCTTCCTTGACAATGATACTTTTTTGGCTGAATGGATCTGGTAGTGCAGCTTTAGGGATATCACAACCCTGCTAGCAAATAACAAAAGAACGTTCAGCATACACAATCATTAAAGAACAAAACAGCATTTTCGACCATCTTCTGAGAAAGAAAGTGTAGTGAGTAGAAGTGAGGTTCCATCATCTGCACTTTATGTGCAGATTTTACATGTTCATCCTGTTCGATTCTGCTAATATACAGTATTAGGTTTGTAGGCAAAGCATTAAATGAATCAAGTCTATTGAAGTAAACCACTTCTGCTTCATATGTAAACGGAATGAGTTCAGTTCTAATAATTGTAAAAATGGAAATTCGCTAGCATATCGAACAACAGTGCTACACATAACTTTTTACAGCATTTTCTTAAACACAGAACTACGACAACTATCGCGTTAAATAAAAGACACATTACCTCAGGATGAGTAATGTAAAACTCCCTTAGCCTAGACGAGAAAACATTGGCCAGAGCGATAAATGCAGATTCTTCATGATTATCTTTCACAACATCAAACAGCAGTTCAATCTTCATATCTGGCTTCATGCATTTGGTTTTCTCATCGTGTATGAGAATCTTATCAATCAGAACTGCTTCAGGAAGTATATATTTTATTTGTGCAAGGTGTACGAACAAGAATTTTCTGATACAGGATGTTAAAAGAGAAGGATTAGACTCCATTCAGCAACAAATATAAATTGAAGTGCAACATATAACATAAGTGCAAGCCAATTAAACAAGTTGCAATCTTCCATCACAATTATGGTACTCTTGCTATAAATCAAGCTAACACCCAGTATAGCAAACCTAGTAGTAATTTGGAAATACTCACCTTCCTGTGAGGATTTCAACTTGATTTGAAATTTTCTGAAAAATTGGTTCTTTTTTACGTAGAGACAGCAACCTCAGTGAACTAGTCATGCGCTCAAAAAACTCCAATAAGATCCCATACCTGCAAAACATTTAAGAAGTTTTCTTCTTGATTTCAGGATTTTTCTTCAATTTATATAAGAAAAACAAAAAAGAAAAATGCATATAGGAGGTTAACATACTTGTGTGGGAGTTCAGCAGGTTGGTTTTCATTGGTCTTAATGCGCGAGGGTTCTTTCGTTTTCACAGGTGTTGGAGAGGAAAAAGTATCTTCAGGATCATGGGTTTCGACAATTGATTCCTTCTGAGGAGAGAAAGAAGAAGAATTTTTCGACATAGCTAGGTGTTGGTGGTGCAATGAGAGGTGAAATTCGAATTGGGAACAAAATCTAGGGTTTGTTTTTCAGTTCATCGTCATCGAGGTGTGGTCGGAGGGAAAAAGCAGGTGAGTGATTTGAAAATTGAAATGGGCTTTTTGATTATAAACTAAATAAGCCCAATAAATGTGTTCATCCATAAAGTCCAATAAATGTGTTAAACGGGCTTTCGGTTCATCCATAAAGCCCAAAGTCGATGTCCTATTTATTAAATTAATTAATTAATTAAAGATATAAAACGTGTGTTTACTGTATATTCAACAACACCCATCCGATAAACCAAATCATGACTCCTCAATCATTGTTTCACATGAATTTATACTTTCACTGAACAACGATTCGAACATCGTATAAATTACTATATTCATGTCATCATGGGTTAATTGGATTGTATGAAATTGAAGATATTTTTGTGATTATTATTATTAGTAAAGAGACAAATAAATATATACAAGTATTGTAATGTATTGGGCATGTGCGAGCTAAGAATATATAAATAAATAAAATGGAGTGAGTATACGTGATAGTGAAAGTTTTGGAGAGTTTATCGGGTCACCTAACCAGACCAAAGGAACCAGCCGCCCAACTTCCCTCCGTCCTCCACGTGTCCCTTCTCCTGCACTACGCCAGCTTGACGTCACACATATCTAAATCGTGTCCCTCATTGGCCATGCATCAAACTTCTTTCATTATTAATTTTTTTTTTAAATTATTCTGGCCGTCCACGTGGTTACGGTTACTTTGGGTCGGACGTGACCTGGCCTTTGATGCGATATATGTTGTGCCACGAAGCACATCATCAAATTCACACAAGTCAACTTTTTGATGACAATTAATCAAACCTCATTCATTTGGATTGCAATTCTTCTTTCTTTCTTTACCAAATTGTACGTGTATTATGAATATTTATGATTATGATTATGAATGAAACATCAAACATATATATATTAGTTTGACATATATATTTTGGGATGTTGATTGGTCATGAAAACACTTGTCATTGCAATAATATTCTCATTATTTCAAATACTATTGATCGAACAACCCAATTTACTATCTCATGCATTTCTTCTCACAATTCACATTAATCCCCTAACTATAAATTAAAATTATAATTTCACAATATATATGTATGATAAATCTTGGTGGTAATTAATTGGTACGTATACATTTTTTAAACTGTCGTTTTAATGAATTCGCGACTTCGATTTGACTTAATGCTAGCTTCCGGAAATGCCGCCGCCCGCCCACCCTGCCTCCCTATTTTTTTGATTTTTCTTCATTCCATAATTATGGTCGGTCTTATAATATACTACTATTTTCATTTAATTAAATGATTACTAGTTGGTAGCAATAGAGCGTACTTTGAAGATTGTTATTATTATTATATAAAGACTCATGAATTTTACAATATTTATATAAAATTAATATATAAATTCAGTATAGAGATAGAGATATATAAATAGGGGTAGTTCGAATGTCGGTACAGAAATGGTCAATTCAGACCTAAAATATTATTATTATTGTTGAAGGAAGGCAGTGTATTAATTATCTACTAGCCATTGCTAAATTGGATCACCACTGGTGTGTCACAACTATATATATTCACCTAACGGGGAATAAAATGAATTAATAATGAAAAATAAGGGAATTAATATCATAATAATTAATCCCCAAATGAAATCACGTACGAACGGCAGGACAAGAGTTGCAATTGTGAATTATATATTCTTGCAAACGATGATTATAGTATTAATTAATAATAATAGTAATAATAATAATAGTAATGATTAATATAAGAATGGAATGAATTAGTAAAGTGATGAACCAGCATCTAACTGCAGTGCAGGGTAATTATTTATTTATAATATAATATATATTCTGTGGACAAGTAGCTAGTCTATCATGGAGGAAACAAGTATTAATTAATCATGAATATATATAATTATTGAAGAAAGCAATTACAATAATGTATAATGTAAATTTTGTTTCACGTTTGAATCAATACTTGTGTTTTTTTAGTGTTATTGAATCAATTCCCAGTTTTGACAATTTCGATTTGTCTCAACTACATATATATAATGCATATATATTGCCTTGATGACCACCCACCCATGACCCACCCCCACAAAAAAAAAAAAAAAAAAAATAATAATAAAATCGTGTGTTTGTAAAATTGGATGCAATTGGCTGGATGAATCAAGGATATATACTATAGCCACTAAACAAATAAAATCATATATAGTGATGCACCCATCGATCACTAGTGGATCCAATATTATATTTATATAATATAATGAACTTGTTTTATAAGACCAAATCAATTTTGACGAATGTGAAATAAATAAAGGCCATCAAATAATAGTATACACTGTACTATGTCTATACAGTTATTATAAAAATAAATATAAAGTTCCTTCGATCATTATCCTAGAAGCTTTTAATTAGCTCTTCTTTAACGATCGATTCATAGTTTTTGACTTGACGATAAACGTACAAACAATATATTTTGTACATTGTGTAGCTAGGTAGAAGTGAATTTTAATTATGATGAGCTTACATTAATTAGTTGGGCTGAATTATAACTTTATCACCAATAATCCCCTATACGTATGAAGAAGATATAATTCATTTTTTGATTATAATATAAAATAAGCATAAAACAGGAAATGGTTAGATTAGGTGATCTTATAATTACATAAAAAGGGCGGTGTGAGTGAGAAAGACAACAAACAATGAAAATCAACAACAGATTGACTGTCTGTCTGTCACCTCTAAAAAGGTTACATTCGGCGCCATTTACCTTCACCCACCCACACACACACACAGGTAGAGGAGACGACTATTATTTATTTATTTATTTATTTTTCTATTTTTATCAAGAATTTGTATTTTTTGTATATATATATAGTAATAAATAATAGGAGGACTAAACTAATACATTTATTTATCTGTTTTCCTCTCTTTACTTGCTTCGACTGCTTATCAACAATTCCACTCTACGTTCCACATTCAAACTTCCAACTCTCTCTCTCTCTCTCTCTCTCTCTCTATATATATCTACTCCAGTGGCTCTCTCTTTCTATCTCTCTCTCTCTCTCCCCCTGTTACTAAAATTTCCACAAGTACTTCATATATGTGGGCCAAGATTTCAATCTAATTTCAATTTCAATTTCAATTTCGTTTGAGTTTGATTCGATTCGACTTTCGTTGACACCCTCAACACTTTTCACCCAAACCCACCATAGAATCGATTCCACAAATTATAAAAGATCCCATCTTTTTAGTTTATTAATTTCTTGCTTGATGGAATTTATCACCTCTGTTTTACTCAAGGTATGATAATGTTGATTTAGCTTCCTGTTTATCTTTAATCAGCTAAATTGATCCACTATTTCAGACCAAGAATTGAAGTGGGGTTCTTTTTTTGTTTTTTGGGTTTTAGTAATTGTTGTAAAATTAATTTAGGTTTGCTTGTATTGTTTGTTTATGTTAGAATCTAATTGGATTCTAATAAACAAGGGATGAGTAAAGACTTGTGCAACAAGTCCTTATGTACCGTGAAACACAAAAGGGAAGTCTCCTTGTTTACTCTAATTCTTTAATTTGTCATTAATTGTTTCTTTTATATAGGAAACTATCTTATTAATTAAAAAGATTTATTCTTAACTTAATGACTTGTGTAGAAGTGTTGTGAAAGAAGAATTCATTCTTGCCATATATTACACACATACGTGTGATTGTGAAAGAGAAACAGATTTCTTTTATATATTGATATTTTTCTTATTTGTCATTAATTAAGTATTATTTATTATAAGGAGTCTTCTATTAGGAATAAAAGTCAAGAATTCCTCTTACGTATTGTCATCTATTTCCATGCATTAGTATTTTGTTAATTGTGGAAATTAGGTTAGATAAGGAATAAATATTTAGTTTTCTATATTATTAAATTTCTTTTCCTTCTTGACCATGACTTTTTAACCTAATTATTTTTCTTGTACAGGAAGATTCAATCACATATAAAAGGGACGACATTACAACGTGATTGTGTGCGGCTTTTTTGGAGAGAAAGATTTTCTCTTTTCTGTGTCGCTCTTCAAGCGTCTTTTTTATCGAGAGAGAAAAATTCACAGAGAAATTATTATTTGTTCTCGTTTTTATTGCTCCATCGTGATACGTGATTTTCATAGAAATATATCGACTTCAAGGCTTTGTGGTGAAGACACCAAGATTCAAGGAGTATCACCAGTTTGCTTCTTCTATACAAAAAGAAGATCGGTTCTTCGGGAGAGGGGCTTAAACAGATCTCGGGAGGAGATCGATCCGCCGACTGAGGGATTCAGCGTTGAAGGGAGTTCAACCGTGCGGAGCAAGAGACGTGCTGCAAATTGAAGATTTATAATTCAGCGTAGTATACAAGAACGGCGTCAACAAAGAGGGAGTCTTTGTATTTTGATTAAGTCCTATTATTGTATTCGTAAAACTAAAAATTAGTAAATTTTATTTGCAGGTCCCCGTGGATGTAGGGTACAATTGTATCCGAACCACATTAAAATTTGTGTCTCGTTTATTTCTGTTTTTACGAACTGCTTCACGAACTGTTGCAACTCTTCACGCAACAGTAACGAAAAACTGAATCTGACACAAATAATTTATATCTGCACGAAATAAATTCTAACAGTTTATTTTGGTTGATTGATTGCTTGCTGGATTCTGGTTTATGGTGATGCTTTACTCATAATGCTCCTACTTGAATGCTTCTCTCGTGAGCCAAAATAACGGAAAGTAGTAATCATTTTGGTTAGGACTCAAAATATAAAATAGTAACATAAATCAACCGAAAAAGTGCTTTTTAAGGGTAACTTGCACAAGAAAAGTTGGCACTTTGCACGAGAGAATACACATAGATAGGTCATGACCCTCTTGTGACATTGATGCTGTCAGTTTTCTTTTTCTTCCATTGTCTGAACTTATATTTGTATTGAGAAGTTGAAATCTAATTGCTTTTTCATGCAGAAATCAGTAGAGGAATTATTCCAGCTATTTATCTTCTGACCCTTTGAAAAACTGGTGAGCACATTTAGTTATAAGTTATACAATTTGACATTATCTGGCTGGCGCCCGTGAGTTGCCAACTGCTTTTCTTGTCTGTTTTCATTTATTGACTACAACATCTTGTTTTTCAGCTCTGCCATTTTTTCATAGTTTCTTGTGACTATTTTTTTGTCTCCTTTTTTTTTTTTCCGGATGTAAATGAGCATCACAAAACTGTTGCCCCGTCAACCTTCTTATTTTCAATTATTATTGGATTGGTTTTGCTGGCAGATTGAAAAAAAATAGAAATTAGAAAATGGGATGCTTTGTATCAACTCCAAAGGACAGCGGTGGAAACAGGAGAAGGCCAACAAACATTGGAGATGTGTCTGTATTCGTACCAGGTTTAAGGATTCCTAAGCCGGTCAATTTCTCGGATTCATTAGGCGATCACCTAACAAAAAGCTTAGTGGAACGCCTTTCTGCTCTTAGAACCAGGATAGTTGTTATGGCTGGGCAAGAAGGTCCCACAATTACTAGAACAAGGCGGAAAACTCAGCACGGTTAGTTTCGTATATGTCTAAAAATAATTTTGTTGTCTCGGATACTGTCTGTCTGATATTGATGTTGCATCAGCTGATTCCATGCAGGGGGGTCAACGCTCGGTGATCTTCTTCAGGCTCTAGAAGATTATTTGCCGGTTCTTCTAGGATTGGTTAAAGATGGTAGTTAGCGTGTTTAAAGATTATCAATCAAGAAGTATGATGAATATTTGCTGAGGGGCCCTTGTTTGCATTGTTGCAGGGAGTCCTTTGCAACATAAAGTACAGTTTGTTTGGATCAATCAAGAAGATGAAGCAGAGGTCAGACTAAGACCTCTCCTTGTTCACATGAATTTAGTGAACTGATTATTTCATTATTCGTATCTATATATCTCCAGGAAACGGGAATGTATAGTGCTTGGTATGAAGTACTATCTGTTTTGCACTTGATGGCAACACTATCGTTATCGCAAGCTAATTTGCTGCTTCTTCCAAGAACTTCAATTGATGGTTATCAGCCAAAGGTATCAGAAGGTAGGCGTGGTGACACATTTATATTGAGTTATTGACGTAATAAATGTTGGGATTATATTGTAATAGGAAAACCATGATAATCGGTACATGCAAGTGCATTTTGTAAACCACTTTTGAGTTCAACATCATTTGATTTATTGTAGATGAAACTGAATACATGGTCACTAATTTGATTTAACAGCATGAGAAAGATGAACATTAGTGACTTTTTCGAACTTTCTTTAGTGTGTGATATAAATAAATTTGTCCATCATGGAACAGAGAGCCGTCGATCTTCTGTTGATGTTTTCTTAAAGGCAGCTGGTTACCTTGATTGTGCTGTACGACATGTCCACCCACAGTTGCCCAACGAACTCAGGTATGATATGTGCTTTTAATTATCAACTAGCTGGGGTTATTTGTCTGGGAGAGGCACATGAATTCACTCTTTTTTGTTTTTTTGGGGGCTATTTTTGTACTTAAAAGGAGAAACCTTCCAGTTGACCTTGCTGAAGGAGTTCTACGAGCACTTTGCCTCCAAGCACTAGGGCAGGTATTAACTAGCTACCTCACTCACTTAATGCTCTTAGAATAGTATTGTATTATTAACTGCTGATGCGTTTTAAGACTAAAAATAGTATATTTAGGCCTCGTTTGGTTGCCAATATAAGATTCGCCAAGATACAATTAAATAATCTAATGAAACCCAATTGTATTATTGGGCCTTAGAAGATCCAATAAAAAAATATGCCTAAAAGGCAAGATAAAGCATGATAACATAATATTTGTTGGTCGACCCGAATACCAAATACAAATCAAGTCCCATTATTTAGTTAATCATGGTTAAGCTCCCCAACCAAACGAGGCCTTAATGTATAGGGTACTTGACAGTTGATATATCTGTGTTGAATAGGGTGTTGATATTCAGCTTGGACTTGCTATTGACAGTACAAAGGCAACACTTGCTGTGAAAAGAAGACTTGCGTGTGAGATGGTCAAATACTGGCAGCAGGTATTGTCTGAATCTCTTCTCTTTTTCATCTCTACTTATTAGCGAAACGAGAAATGTAATGTTTATGAAAGTCTGTGTGATAATGAATCTGTAGGCACAAGATAACATGATGAACCTTCCACTAGCAAATGGTTGGGGAGAAAAGCATGCTCTTTTCGTCAAGTGGAAGTACGTCGAAGCTAAGGTATCCTCCCATCTTTTTACATAATATTGGTTTTTTTCTGTTCATTTGTTACTGGACTTTGATAAGATATTGTAGTTGGTCTTTTTTGAGATTTTGCTTTTTATTTAAAAAAAAAAAAAAAAAAATTGAAGGCGGGAGCATACTACTATCACGGTCTGATACTTGATGAGGGGAATACGGAGAAGTCACATGGAATGGCTGTAGCTGCTCTTCAAGCAGCAGACGAGTATCTGAAAGAGAGCAAAAAGGCATCTGAATCTTTTAATGCATCTGTTCCTATATCTAGGTACTTGATAAAATATATGTTTTTGTTCAGCGAGTGGCATATTTATTGTTCCATCAGAAAATAAATAATATAGAGAATAATATAATGCAGGAATCCTCCTCTGTGGGGAACCATGAAGTATCTGTCTGAAAAGATACCAAAGGATACTTGTAGCAAGGTGCGAATCAACAAGGATCTATACACTTACGAAAGGTAATTAATTTGATCCTGCTGATTAATTCTTCCTGTTTAGTTATTATTAGACTGAAGAAGAAGAAGAATGTGTATCTAAATTGACATATGTTTGGATTTGGGTGTATTGTAGAATAATGGAAACGGCGCCAACATTACCAGATTTTGCATTGGCATTAAAACCAGATGAATATCAGCTTCCTCTTGTGGATCCCTCTTGGAACGACGAATCAACCAAGAATAAGACTGGAGATTAATTATTTGCAGCAGCAGCAGCAGCAGCAGCAGCTCTATCCAAAGTTTTCTTCCTCATTGCATAAGAATGGTACAGTTCACCTTGTGATTCAAATGGTTGTCTTAAAATCGTCACACCGGAAAAGAAAAAGAAATATTCGTTACGGTTGCTTTGAATCATTCCTGTTTTTTTTTTTTTTTTTTTTTTTTTTTGGTTTTTCTCCAGTTTTTATGTGTAATGTAGAGTGTGTGAAAGTAAAGAAGGGAATGTTTTCCTTAGCCACAGTAACACAAATAATGATAATTTGTATTATTTTCATACATTCAATCAAGTGAAGTTGCATGGCACTATTATATGTCACAATTATTTGGTACAAAATAGGGAAATTCGAAGACACATGTCCGACACCTTATGGGTCATTGTTGCAATTTCTAGAAAAATGGAAACATCTTTGAACTACAAATTTTTAAATATTGTTGTTGATTCCTTAATTACTTTCATGATTTAACGATCAATTGTAAATTGATCATATTATATAAATATTCTCCTGTAGTTTTAATATTAATACGTTTCCCCCAAGTTCTCGTATCCTTATTTTTGGGACATGCGAATTGTCGTGTCTATTTTCCCGTTTATCCATATCGTCGTTTTTGTGCTATATAGGTGACAACTCAAAACACATTCAATGGAAAAAAAAAGGTAAATTACAGCCATCCCCTAAGATAAGGTCAAATTACGAAAAGAAATCTCACATATTTGGGTAATTACAACCACCCATCAACTATGAATTTTCTTACACGTCCACCTTTATGGTGTCAAATTTAGTCGAGCTCCATATTTTGAAACAAGATGATCGATCATAAGATGTGTATCTTGCCTTGTAAATATCAAATTGTCGTGCATCAGAAACTGCATTTTGCACAAAATAAGTACAAACTAGAGAATTTTCACTTCTAGAGGATTCTGTTGAATTTGAAACCATAAGGGTGGACGTATCATAGTTAAGGGGATTGATTGTAATTACCCAAACATAAGAGGTTTTTTCGTAATTTAATCTGACCTGAGGAGGGTCGCTGTAATTTAAAAAAGAAAAGAAAAAAAAGAACAACATTTGTCCAAATGAACCCATTACGATCCTCTGAACCGAATTAGACCCATTTCATATGATTCAGTACCCATTTATTTATACTGGAGAAAGACTGTCATCGGAAAATTAAGATGGAGAAGAGAGAAAGCACCGCCACCGCCACCTCCACCATCGCCTCCTCAGCAGTGGAAGATGCCAAGAGAAGGTGCGTTTCCCTCATTCAGCGCCTAACTACAAGTAATCTTTCTCTCTCCCCAAGGACCACCCTCTCCCGATTAATCCACTCCGAGCTCTCCTTTCTCCACCGCCTCTCCGCCGCCACCTCTCCTCCTTCTTTCAGGTTTCTTATTCTTCTTCTTCCTTAATCTAAATTCTCTCTGTTTTTTTGACCTAATTGAAAATCCTTGGCAATTTCACATGCCAGTCTCAATATCGGTCACCTGGAGGCTGTGTTGCACGTGCTTCAGCAACCATTTGTTACTGCGGTATCGCGCGTTTGCAAGCCCATTAAGCTGTCCCATTCGTGTAGCATCTACATCGATATTGTTTGTTCTCTCAAGGGGAATCCTGTTTGGTTCATTGTATCCGATAGGAACTCCAGATACATCTCCTGGGACACCAGTTCAGGTAATAAAAACAAGGGGTTAAAGGATAAAGTTCAGCAAGTTCTTGATGCCGCACGCCACTCCCCTGTAACGCTCAGACCTTCTTCCGTTGTGCTTTTCTTTTCCAATGCTGTTGATGATGATATTTATCAGAATCTTAAAATTCACTTTGGAGCCGTCGACTTGGAAATGGAGCCGTTTTCATATCAAGAGTTGGAATTGGAGGATAACTGGACGAACTTGGAGCTTGGTAGATTTTTTCTTGATGCTTGTGTTGTCGAAATAAGGGTCGACAAAGATAGTCGTGAGATGGAGGAAAGTATTTCTGATTCTGCAAATGCAAAGATAGGTGGCTTAATCTGCTGCAAAAAGTTGGACAACTACTCTGATTTGACATCTTTGTGTTCACTTGTTTTGGGGATGAAGTGTTGGTGCTGCTCTTTAGAGGATAATATAGAGCTTGAAGTTAGTTTACTGAAGCAGTCTTGGAGAGATGCTGAATCCAAGTTGGTTAATTTTGATACGACAGCATTGGTTGCGATTGTGTCAGGGATTAGCAATGGCCGGACAGAAAAGCTTTTGGCAACACCAGAGAGCGAATTGAGATGTCGGTTTAAGGGAAACTACGACTTTGTGATTGCCCAGGTAATCTTTAAAAATTAAAACCCATATCTTAACTAACGGATGCTTCAAAAACTTATCTGCTTCAAGCACATTATTGGCACCAAGTCATGAATTCTTCCCTGTTATTTCAATTATTCTCTTTGTGATGTTCAATATTGTCAAGTGACGAACGTACTAAAGGAAAAGTTGAGAGTATTATGTTTGTTGTGCTTGTTATTGATCTGTTTGTTATTTTCTCTCAGCATCGTACTTAACTTGGCTGTTGTTTCGTTTTAACTTGTACAATAGCATCGTTATGGTGCACTCGAGAGTCCTTTTACTGCTGTTTCCCAATCATTTTCGTCAAGTGACAATTGTTCTTCATATCATGCCAGGTTGACTCCGAAAATAAGAATCCGATACATAGTGAACTGTCTAGTGTAATATCGGGAAAACAAGGAATTATAAGTGAAAGTGTTCGGTTGGAGTTTCAGGAGCTTATCTCAATGTGTGGTGGACCTAATGAGAAAAGAAGAGCTGACTACTTTCTGAATTTCCTCAAGTGAGTATTTTCATCCTAAATTTTTGTTTTTTCTATTCTTTTTGTTATTATTAATCTGGTCTATAGTTCAACGCATCAAGTGGACAAGAGAGTCCCCACTTTCTGATTTGCACATTGAAAAACTTCCGACTTCACAAAGAAGACTGAATATATGTATCCGTAATAGGAAACCAAAAGATGTATATGATTATTTGTTGAGCTTATATTTTTCTGATTTAACCTTGCATCATATCCTTTATTCATCTTCATTCATTCATTGATAAATTAAAAAACTATCCCAGGACAGTGCCTGATTGTCCATCAACTCGGCTGATGAGTCTTCCAACAACCAGAAAGCTAGCTTTGAAAAATAAAGTGGTTTTTGGCACTGGTGATTATTGGTCTGCTCCAACTGTAACGGCAAACATGGCTTTTGTTAGGGCTGTCTCACAGACAGGGATGTCTCTGTCTGTAATAGAGCACAGACCACGGGCACTAATTGGTGACTAATATATATATATATATATATATATATATATATATATATATATATATATATATATATATATATATATATATATATATATATATATATATATATATATACACGCATGTTGGAAGATTGTTTGCCATCCCATTGCTTCATGAAATGATCTACTCTCGATAATTATAGTCTTATGATACTGATCTTTTTTATCTTGAGGGATTAATTTATGTTTCCAACTTGTGTAAGTGTGGTTCCGCTTACAAATTTTTGGCAGTTTCGTTGTACTAAATTAGAATTCTTGTCTGAAATTAGCTGGCCAACTCTAGAATACAATGCCCATTCAACACAAGGCAGCTAGCATTTTTATGTTCATTTAAGCTGTCTAAGAAGCAGTATTGCTAAAATTTACATTTCCAGTATGAGTGATGTCTATCATTATAATTGTTCAAAGGTTGTATTGCGTAACATACTAGTACTGAACATGGAAAACTGCTGTTGATATCACATTAATGAATAAAAGGTCTTTCCAAAAATGGGAAATAAATGAAGAAAACAAAAAGAAAGGTTTACACTAGGATGGATAAGTAATAAACATCGTTCAGAGCTTCAGTCCGAAATTACAGGTACTAGCTTTAATGCTGATTAAACTATTAGTAGACAGGTTATCGACAATCAACATGCAGGTTCCCATTATTCGCACCTTGTTCAGCTTCAGTTTCCCAAGCTTAATGCTGACAGGCACATCTATCTTAAGATCAAGTGGAATCCTTCTAGTCTGTTGCTGCTCCTGCATTGCATCAAGCAGGGTTCTTCCATATTGATTTTGGCCCGTTAAGACTACATTGAAAGCCGTTTTGTTCTGGTGGCCCTGGTAGAATCTGGGGATCGATCCTTGGCAAAGGTTTGTGTTTTTGTACCACACGCTCAAATGGCTACCTTTCTCGTAGTATATTCCAATCTTTTTATTTGGGTTTTCTGCTGTGATCTTAACATTGAACCTTGCGTAAAGGCTCAAGTCGAAATTCAGTGTCAAGTCTGATATTCTGAGATCGTCAACTGAATATTTGGGGATCTTGGGTTGGAAAACGAGGTAAAGAATCCCTGCAGTGGCTCCAACAATGATCAGCAGGAATATGAGGAGGCTAAGTGTCCAACAGAGGCATTTGCACAAACAGTTTCCACTCTTTGGTGGTGCCAAAGGAGGAGGCCTTGCTGCAATTAAGTGGCCTAATGGAACTTGATTCCTTGCTGGATTACCCTTTTCTGATCGGAATGTGACTTGAGGCAGTAGAGGTCGTGTTGGTGGTGGTGGCGGTGATGGTGATGGTGGTGCTTCCACATCCTGGACGACCACCGGATGTATTCTTTGGTGCTCTGTCATTAATGGTGTATTTGGCTTCTTGTTGTCGAAATGGTGTAGCACTGAAACTGTGTATTAATAATGGCGCATTTGGTTTGTGTCAGGATTGTACGATAAAACCGTTTCAGAATGATGTTACTCTTGGAACTATATGTGGTGTACATTTATATATATATATGAGTAAGTATGAAGAGAAAGGGGAGGTGCAATTTGTTATTGGGTAGGAAAAAGTTGTCACCTTTCTGACCTAACTACACAAACTGCATGCTGAGTATGAGAGAGTTGGGTCATCTAAGTATGACCCAACTTGTTGAATATGTCATGCATATATAACTGTTGTTGTTGACCTAATTTTATTTTGAATGTCAAATGGAGAGATCAAAACAACTGAAAGTCAGCAGCACAAATGGTAGAGATCAAATGTGAGTTTACTGATTTCCTGTAAACTGTCATCGGAACTGATTACTAAAAAGAAAAGGAGAGAAAAAAGAACACTCTGTTCGATTTGGCCATTGCTAGCACAGAAACGTTGTATTGTTCAATATACCTCACAAAATCTGTTTTGCCATTCGAAAGCTCAAGCAGTTTCCTTGGAAAACGTGTCCATTTGATTGCATTATTATTTAAGAAGGAAATTAGTTGGTTGGCATGTGAATGACACAGCGCAAACATTTTCCTTGAATCATAAGCTCAAATGCCTTGTTTATATCTTCAAACTGCAGATTGTGTGTAATGTACTCGTCAATCTTTATTTCCTGACAAAACAACAAATTTTGATTTTGAATCATGCTTAACGAACGTTATTTGTATTATTAGATATGCATCAAATGTTGAGGGTGTTGAGAGTTATATTACCTTCCTTAGGTACATATCGACAAGTGAAGGAAGATGAGATTTGGGCTTCCATCCCCCAAACAGAGATCCGGTAAGTGTTCTTCCACTGAGAAGCAGTCCGTAATGAACTGCTATCTCTGCCTTGTTCTTCGGTACACCAAGACTCACTGTCAAACCCCATCCCTGAATTTTTTATTTATTTATATATATATTACTTACAAATCCAAAAGATACAGTAAAATAATAAGTTTGATTGAGTAATTGATATCGAGAGAGGAGTTTACACTGCAACAAGACTGTAAAGCAGTGGTAACCATTCCTGTATCTCCTACACACTCAAATGCATAGTCTGCCCCACCATCAGTTATTCGGTTAATTACCTGTAAATATGACATCATCATCATCATCATTTTATTTATAGATGATAGATGATGGATGACTAGGATGATATGGTGGTCTGCTTAAACAAAACAAACCTGTTGAATTGGTTCATCATGCTCATTTGGGTTCAGATACTCTGTCACTCCAAAACCCTTTGCTGTATTACCAACGCAATTAAATTATTTAAACGACCATACTCTATATTATTTACATACTCAACACCAATTACCTCCTTCACTTTTCTCGGGATTCGTGTCCACACCAATTACTCGAGATGCCCCCCTCATTTTAGCACCTTGTGCAACCTATTCAACATGAAAGGAAATCTTATTATTTATTTTCTATATATGACATAACAGAGTATGCTGAAAGTCGACAACTCACAGAAAGGCCTACAGTACCAAGACCGAAAATAACTACAGTTGATCCTTGTGATATATTGGCAACCTTCCAAGCTGCACCTAGACCTAGTTGTGAGGCACATTCAGGCAGATTGAAATATATGTATAAGAAATGTATGTTAAGCTCGATTCATAGAAATAGATAACTTATACCAGCTGCAACTCCACAACTGAGAAGGCATATTTTATCGAGAGGAGCAATAGAGCTAATCTTGACAGCACAACCAGAGTGCACAATTGTGTACTCGCTGAAACTGGAAACGGCACAGTAATGATAAACGGGGTTTCCGTTAATGGAGAAGCGTGTCTGCTTGTCACTGTGCATTAAGCCTTGTCGTTCCAAGCCCAGAACTTGGCACATATTGCTTTTATCAGAGGCACAGTGTGTGCAACTCATACATTCTCCAGTAAACAAAGTGAGGACGTGGTCCCCGGTTTCGAACTCGGTCACTCCTTCACCCACACTCTCAACAATCCTACATTAACATTTGAGGACACATTTGAAACAATTAGGCAGGAAAATATATGATAAGCAAAGATGGAAGGACAAAAAAAAAAAGTCACCCAGAAGCTTCATGGCCAAAAATCCGAGGAAAGATTTGAGGTTGTGCCTGCAAATGCAATATATGATTTTTGTAAATGTGATTGATGATCAACAGTCAACATATGAACTGAATACAACAAGTCTTACTTTAAATGCAAAGAATGGTATATATATTGAAGAAGAAGACCTGAGAGAGCCAAGCGGTGAGGTCGCTGCGGCAGAGTGAAGTGCAGACGACTTTGATGCGGATCTCCATGGGCTGAGGTGGGCTGAGCTCCACCTCCTCAATCACCAGTGCCTCTCCGGCAGCCCATGCCACCGCCGCTTTACACCTGATCACACCGCCTGACGACATTCGTTTGATTGATTGATTTCTTCTCTGGCTGCTGCTGCTGCTGCTGCTTCAGGCTCAACTAAACTACGGTAGGTAACTGATTATTTTTTCTTGGGTAGGTGGCGAGTTATTATTTTTTTCTTTATTGTCTTCTTTAACAATAATTAATTTATCCCCCAAATACATTTTCTTTTTTACTAAATTATTTTTTCAAGTTGGTAGTTTGAAGAAAGCAAAACCAAATATTTATGTTCAGTATATATAGTAGACTTTGTAAAATAATTATACAACTGAAACATAGTTAAACAAAAAACATCTCAACTGGAATTGGATCATCAAAATTCACATAAATCAATCAAGCTTAGTTTTATGATTTACATCACATTGCAAACACCACCATCCTTCAATATTTCAGATGTTTCACTTTTGAAGCTTATATTAGAATTAGACCATACAATTACTGAATAATGCTCTATCCAATACATTTATATATCTACATAATTTTGTCATGTTAATTTTCTATCTAGTACACTGAATTTAGTCAACAAAGTGTCAAGCTCTTGCATTACAGCTTCATAGTGTTCTTGAGATTGTGCACCCTCTTCAACAACTTCAACGGCACGTCTAGACAGATGATTATACCATTCCCCAGGACAACTATCCGCATCTAAATCACTAAATCCAACATCTAAGGCGAATTTACGCTTATATTCTTTATTCCAACGCGGTAAAATGTACTGCGACGGTATTTCTTCTACCCCGTTATAATTAAGCACATTTAATGCATGCCTGCACAGATAACCTTTCGCACTGAACAAACTACAAATGCAGCGTACTTCGGTTTGACTTGTCTCGTACACAACTTCATACTGTCTCGTCTCCTTCTCCTTTCCTTCAACTTCTATTCCTTCTTTCACAACAAATGTCATAATTTCGTCTTCTGCAGCCACTTGCTTTGTATTGAAGCAAGAATACATCCCCTCCACTTCAATCTGACATTTCTTGAACATTTCCTTCGTGTACACCTTCGAGAGCTGGAACTCGTAATTAGATTTCGTTTTCAACTCAAACCTCGAATTCCTGGACTCGAAATCTTCAATGGCTTCTTTCAGATGCTTTCTCTGTAGTGCCAGATCATACTTGTCAAGGAATTCTTTAAAGGATGTGTGCTTATGTATATACCCATCAAAAAATGCACTAGAGCCCCCCTCACTACTCTCACTAATTGTCAGCATCCCCACAAAGAAGGTGTCTTTTAAGTAGACTGGGGCCCACATTTGTCGATCTTCATACAATAACTGAAGCCATTTATTGTTACCAAGGCTGTGCTGATTTATCATCTCACCCCACAAAGTTTCAAACTCCGATATCTTCAACGAATCATACACTGCTTTACTCAGTTGCCTCTTTATTGCTTCAAACCCACTCAATCCACCCAATTTCTCAGGCACACGGTGCATGATGTATGACAAACAATAACAATGACGAGCCTGCGGAAAAACCTCCAAAATTGCCATATGCAAGAGTTTGGACTGATCCGTGACGATAACTTGTGGATGTCGTCCGAGCATACATGTAAGCCATGCCCTACACATCCAAACAAAATATTCCACTGATTCATGTCCAAGGAAGCCACATCCCAACAAGACAGATTGTCCATGGTGGTTTATTCCAACAAACGAAACCAATGGTATCTCGTACTTGTTTGTCAAGCTTGTTGTATCGATTGTGATTGTGTCGGAAAAGTAATTGTGAGCAATCCTAGACCTAGCATCAGCCCAGAAGACATTATTCAAGCGCCCCTCATCATCAAGATCCATCAAATAAAAGAAATTTGGATTTGTCAGCTTCATACGACAGAAGTAATTATATACTGCATGAGCATCACCCTCTTTGAGGTCTAGATGCTTCGAGTGATCCATCGAATTCCCATTATCTCTCTCATCCGTCTTCGAGTGTCCGTTGCATAGAGAATCCACAACATCTGTACGGTATAACTTAATTGTGTGTATTTCTTTTACAGGTGCAGTTTTTTGTACTTCCTTGGCAGCAAGACACATCTTTTTATGTGACTTGTAGAAACGTTTGGTTTCTGGACTCACTGGGTGGTTGTGATCAAGCTCAACCTCGACTATTCGCCATCTATGCGCATCCACAAGCTTGACGATTACCATTGCAGGGCACCCCGTTCTTGTTTCTGGCCTTGGATTGTTTGCTTCACTTTTTTTCTTGAAACCGGCACTGCTACAGCTGAGTTTTGCTCTATATCTCTCCCTTCTTTTAGAACGAAACCATGAATTGCTGACTCGGATCCCAAATCCTTGTCCCTTAGCATAGACATTATAGAAGTCATAAGCTTCATCGAAAGACTCAAACTCCAAACCCTCAATAGGCGGCCAAGATTCCCTTTTTAATTGCACTCCTAGAGCTTCGTTGCTGTATTCCAACATCGAATAGTTTCCTTCATCTCCATATTCGTCACCTTCCCCAAAAATTGGCTCAGTGTTAAGCGACACTGCCTCCATCTAAATCACCAATAAAACTAATCAACAATGGGGAAGAAAAGTGTCCATACCAGCGATATGTTCAAAAGCAATTTTACTTATGAGAGAAAAAAAAAAACTGCATGAAAACACAGTTTCAGACATGGGGGATATTTATCAGAGTATATGAGTGAAGGTACTAAGTGCGATCCAAACATAAAACGTATAACTATATATCGATAAATCTGCTACTACAAGAACCCACATTCCTCGTGTTTTAGACCTAAAGAGGCAAGCTTATAGGTGACAAGTACCAGGAGATTCCAAAAATGCAAACTTTTCAAGGTTGATTGAATTACTGTGTATTACATACACCTTCTTTATATTAGTAACTGTGGCAGAGAGGGTTTAATTTTTTGAAAGAACTAGATTCGTTAACAAAACCATTGATTAGACAAATATGAGGTGTTCTTGAAATGGAACCAAAGGGTAGCTTCCAAACACTGATTAACGATAAATATCTGATGAAACAGGAAGACAAAAGAAGGGAAAAAGGCGAGTGATTTATGATAATGGTGTTGTTGATTGGAACAGCAAATCAATGACGAGGAAGCAGACAGAGATGAAGTAAGTAATAGAGAAAATTAAGTTACGAAGGCAGATGATGATGATGATGACCTGCAATCTAGCATATATATGTAGAAGAAGAATCCCTAATTGGGAAATTGGGAATTGAATCCCTAATTATGAGAACATACATACCCGATAACAGGCGGCGGCTCCACCTGCTCCGTCACGGGCAACACCTCAATTCCCCGTCTTCCTCTTTCCTCATCTTCCTCTTTATTTCTGTATTATTATTAATTCCGATAACAAGCAATTTTAGAAGATATTTGTACTTGAGATTGTTCTTATTCTCTTTTTATTTTTTCTTTTTAAATTATTATTTTTTAAAAAGAGATTGCTATTTATGCAATAGCAGCACCAACTAATTTTGAGTTGCTAAAGTTTTTCAATTGATAAGATATCATTATTAATTTAATTAGTAAGACTTGATCCATTATTATCCAATAGAATTACCAGAAAAAACCATCAAGTTCTTGTCTTTTATCCCAGACAATTTGGACAATTGTATATTATCATCTCAAATAATCAATCTCATATCATATGCTAATTTATCAGTTGCTAATAATGGCTTGTAGTTTTTCCAACTCCACAAGAACATCACCCAAGTTGAATGTATCAAAATTATGAATTTGAGTGTTAAAAATGATATATTTATCTAAACAAATGAAGTAAGGAAACACAGATAGAGATGGGATACATATGATATAAAAAATGCAGAAAACTAAACTGTGTCAGCAGCAGCAGCACTAGGAGTAGACTACTAGTAGTAGTAGTAGTAGTGGTAACCACAAACAAAACTAAATATATATATCTGTAAATCAACACACACACACACACACACACACACAAACAAATTCACTCTGAATCAAAGAAAATAAGGTACTCCAGTTCTTGGTCCTCTCATCTGGTTGTTCTCCTCCGTCTCCGTAAAAAACTTCACTTCTCTCTCCTAAACACAACCAGGATAATATAATCATCCATCAAACCAGTTGTGTATGTATATATATATTCAAGAGTAATAATCAATTAATACTCGTACCATATTCTCATTGAAGCTCAATATTGATGCCACATTTCCACAGCGATAACAATAATTTGGTGCAGACCACACCTGCGCATTGTTCCATCAACAATGAGATAATTGTGAAACTACTTATGGATTCCATCATCATACAGAATTTAGACAGCTAAAAAACTCACAGTCACAAGTCCTTTATCTTGAAACATATACTTTAGACCTTCTTGAACAAGTTGGTGGGCCCGACATACCAGATCAAGTTTGTTGATGTGATTGAACTGCAAAACCCACCCCCATTTTACTAGTTTAGTTTTGATTATCCAAACAAACACAAAGCTGCTTGCTTTATTCATTCATTCATTCATCTAGTCATTGACTCACCTCGGTTGTCACCCTGGATCCAAAAAGCCAGCCAGCTCCACGAGGACTAACTGCCCATGTCTCAATATCTTCAGGATCACTCCACATCAAGTCACAGAACGGCCCTTCGTGTGGGATCTCACAGTTCCTATCAATCACTCGAATCTACACCAAAACAATAACAGCCAAATTTTACTACATACACTATCAGCATATTCTAAAACAGGTATAATTAAGTACCAATTTAGATCGAATATGCAGTGCTTCACACACACACACAGAGAAAACGAAAAGAAAACCAGAAAATAGTAATGATCTAACCTGATCGATGGTTCTAATATCTGGGGATAGGCCACCATGCACACAGAGTACCTGGCATTTCAAATGTCAGTTTCAGTGTCTTACTAACAAAAGAAGACACAGAGTGCAATGATAGTCATAAGTTCTTCATATTTCCTTCCAAAGACTTCAGATACTACAAGACTTGATAGCCACGCCATAAAAATCAGAAACGAAATTTTGTACATTTTCCTACTCCAATAATATCTCTGATAGAGGGAAAAGGAATACACACCGTGCCATCAATAATTGCAGACAGAGTTAGATAGTCAAAAACATCTGTGCAGTAACGCCAAGCATTAGCATTCCCATACTTCCTTTGACATTCATCGTAGAATCCATAAACCTAAACAGGACAAGCATGTACAAGTTCATCAGGAAATTTTCAATCATGAGAATACACTGGCTACCTTAAGTGCAAACAGAGACAGCATTCCCAGAAAAAAAAAATGACAGAAACTAAGTCATTATTTTCTTTAGTTAATTTCAGTCAGCACCACTTAGTGCCTTCATATGAAGACAAATTCTTAGCTGCCTCACCATTATTAGTTGTATGCGTAAATATATAATCTAGTTGTAATGTACAAGTGCAGTGTGTATATTGGTTACCTGTGTCAGTTGCCTGCTTTCATGATTTCCACGTAGGAGAGTAATGTTAGCAGGATATCTGGAAGCAAATACAAAAGCAAATATAAATAACTAGCCAAAAGTAGCAATTTCACCTGAAAACCGTCCAAAATATGTCTCCAGCTAACAACCATATAAGAAATGTTTTTTCATCCACAAGTTGGATGTTGTTCATCGTACACTGAATTTTACATACCTTGCTTTAAGAAGCAAAAGGATAGTAAAAACTTCTAGACTGTTATAACCACGATCAACAAAGTCTCCCTGCCAGCAGAAAGTACAATTAAAATATACATAAAAACAAAGAAACAGAAAGATGAGAAATTGCTTTAGACTGTTTACCATGAATATGTAATTTGTTTCTGGTACATGGCCTCCAGTCTGGAACAATTTCATTAAATCATGAAACTGCCCATGAATATCCCCACAAACTGTGACCGGACTGTTGACAGGCTGAACATTTGATTCCTCAATCAAAATCTCTTTTACCTGAATGAGGCAGGATCACATCAAATTTAAGAACAAACCAAGATTGTAAACTAAAAAAATGGAAGCCAAGGATAAAATATGATGCATCAAACCATAACCGTCTGCATCACTGCAAGAAAGACCATAAACTATGTATATGCGAATATATGTATTATGTAACCACGTCTACAAATTATTGGAAAGTATCTCCAGGCCTATCATTTCTATAAAAAGTTCATAAATTAGCAGAAGCCCTCTGGCCCACTTATCTAGACAGTAGTTCACCACTTTCAAATCAGTTGAAAACCTTCTATATATTAGTGAAGTGGAAGAAACAGTAGCATGTTATGCTTAGAGTTTAAATGATTGCGTTAACCCAATATAAAATGAAATGAATTTTGAAAAAGATATAAGATTATCAGCACTAGAATGATGTCGATCTTAGCAGATATAAGAGTTCAAACTTCGTGCTCTAGATACGAACTTCTTTTTCACAAGTACTTTAGCTGGAAATATGCAGGGGCGGTGAAGTAAACCAAAGAAGGGAAATAAGATTAAGAATAGCTGGCAGAGATAGAGTTCTTTCAAATCTTTTAGGCAAAGATGACAGACAGTTAATGAACACATTTTCCTTGATGAAAACTTTACAGTTGCTTGACTAATGAAGTAATCATGGTTCCATCTAGTTATTAGAGCTTGGATTTTTTCAGGAACTAGAAATCAATATGAATGAAGTCTCCTATTTAGCAAGAACATCTTTTAAATAAAAAGAGTGGAGATTTACCAACTTATAGGACTAATACCCGCTCAACTAAGACATGAAGAATCTAGATATGAATCCCATCCGATACAAATCCTCATAAACCCTAAATAACCTTTGCCAAAAAAGAAACATTCCTAAACCCCAAGTACACCCGTTGCACCAAGACCGTGGACCCGCCCGCCAGAAAAAAATAGGAAAGGGTCAAGGCAAAAACCCTAAGTACCAAAACCAAAATGTAAGGCTAATAAAAACTGAAACCATTCTCCGAATTCGTTCCTCTGGTACAAAGATTCTTGATTTTCATGAAAAATTAAATAAATAAACGAACAAGAAAAAAAAAACGAGAAGAAGAAGAAGAAGAAGTAGATACGTATTCGCAGAGAAGCTGAAGTTCGTCTTCTGACAAGTGCTGGCCGTCTTTCACCTTTGTAATCCACTGGTCCAAATCCATTTCGTCTTGTTTTCTGAATCCGAAAAAGAATGATTGATTCTCCGAGCAATTATGGGCAATCAACAGCAGCAAATAGAAATAAAAATGTTTATATACGGGGAAGAGGCTTGGTGTATGTATGAATATGTACTGCTTGTAGCAATCTATGAGTAGAAGAAAAATCAGATACAGAGAGAGGAGGGGGAGGGGGGGCGGGGGCGGAGATATATGTGGACTGGAGACGAAGGAAATATTAAGATGGTGTTGTAATTTGTAATTGGTTGTTTTTTCGCAGCTAAGAACCAAGATTCAGACTTTTTCTTTTTTTTCTTTCTATTTTTCTTCAACTCCAACTCCGATTATAGATTTTATTTTCCTTGTACAATTAAATTAAATTAAATTAATTACGACATTTCATATTCTACTTCCCTTTCCAAATCTGAATCTTGGATCTCTTTTATTTAATCAAATCTATAATGAAACTAAGTTAATAATTTTTATTCAAAATTTATCTCCTTAAAATACATGTGCATTTTGATGTGTTGCATTTGTTACTCCATATAATGGTCCATTTTATTCAAAATTTCACTTTAGTATTGATGGGGTTAGTTCCCAACCAATGGACCGAACTTTCCATATTCAGATTAATAGGTTGAAGGTACAATAGGTCACAAGAATTGGAGTGGGCCAAGAGCTCGTTCGGCAAGCCGAAAGTCCACCTAATAAAGTCCATACAATGTTCTATCAAAAAAAAAAGAAGTCCATACGAGTATTGCATTGACAAACTGAGAGCTCAAAACCGTTGACATTGGCGAACTGTTTTTGATACGTTTAATATGAAGAAGGAGACACAGTAAGTGGCGAGCTAACTTCAACACTATTGGAAAAGATCTCACGCGGTAATTGTGTGATGAGGGTCAAATCTTGAACTAATTATGGGGCTCTAAGATAGGAAATGTTTATTTAGAAACCCACTATACAGATAAATATAACAACCCGGTTAAGGTTATGTTCTCAGGCCTCAGCACAATCACAATTAATAATAAACTCTCTTCTAAACTCCGTCTTATTTTACCTCAGTACTTTCCATCCGAACTCATCTTCCAGGCAAAAGACCACGTTCGATGGGCTTTTCCATCGATCAAAGGAGTTATATTTTCAAAAGATTTTTGCTAGTTTGGTCAAATTGTATATCAAATTAAAAATATATTTTTTTGGCAGCGGAGTTGAGAAATATTTTAGAAAGCTTTGATTTGAAAAAAAGAAAAAACATAATACCTCTTGACAACATTAATAGTACATCTGTTGAGCTCAATCAATCTATGCAGTTGAATAATATAATTCTCAAATATAAAACAAAATTTTAATCTGTTATTGATACAGTAACAGTAGTAGTTGGTCCGTCTCGCAGATTACAAAAACAAGGTAGGGAATAATGTTTTATTTTTCTGCATAAGATATATATTTATACTCTCAGCTACACACTGCCTCAACAGCAAGTTTCTTCACCAAATTCGGACATAACTCAATGTCGAAATTCTCTCCGCTCAGTTCAACCTGGCACTCATTTCGGTTTAGGCAAGCCTGCAAACCAACACAACACAACACAACACAACACAACACACAAGTAATTAAATTAATTAGGCAATTACAGAAAATATAATGACAAAGTCCTTTCGTCTGAATTACCTTTTGGACCATCGAAACTGAATTAGGATCATGGCACTCCCCCACAGCATACGCTCCGCAATTCCCTACAGGATCTCCGAAACTGGCAAATTTGACATCCGATATTTGGGTGCTGACGGGGCATTTCAAGTTCAAACTAACACTTGCTTTCTTTTTGTAAGGATATCCAGTTTCGCCTTTTTGCAAAGATTCAATCATATCTTCAGATAAAGGGTGGTCTTGAGAGATGTGTGCGCAAACACTTGATACTTTCCGTTTTGAGAAGCGAATTTGAGTGGGGTCACCGCCTTTTTCTTCAAAGATCACCAATGTATTTCCTGATGGCTTGAACCAAGATCGTGGTACGTGGTACCTAATCAAACAACATTATATTTTACCAACCAACAACGTCATATTATTATATGCATGCAAGCTCATGATCTTGATTTTACCATCTTTGTGTTGGTTCGCCGCAGCCTGTATTACATTTGTTAGGCATAAATTTGCCTCTGTAGTCGCATTTCTGAACACACTTTTCGTTAATGGAGGCTTTGATAGGCCAGTATCTTCCAATTTCGTTTCCATTTAACCAAGCAAGCCCTTTCCCCATGTGAATCATGTCAAGTCCAACAGGCTCTTTCCCAGGTGGAGGATCCACCAAAGCCTGCATGCATGCATGTGTAAGAATATATAAATCGTGTCAGAAGCAAGAGACATGATCGATCACAAGTTTCTTACCTTGTACCATGTGAGGGGCTGTTGTTTAGGTGGTGCAGAAGAAGTTGAAACCCAGTTTGCAGAATTTAAATCATCTCTATCATATATCCTTAAATGTTCCCCTTGCAATCCAATCTGAAAATAATATATATAAGTGAACAAGAATTTCATCATTTGTTTTGAGAAAAATAAAAATACCTTGTATCTCCACGTATTAGTGGATAGGTCCATTGTGCCATTCCTCATCCCCACAATTCTAACACTGGTAGGACCTGCTCCAACCCACTCATAAAATGCCCCTGCATTCTACATTTTTATAAAGCAGAAGGAAAAAAAAAAGGTTCTAAGAGGCAACTTGAGAAAATGAGGCACAAAAAATTAATAAGGTGCATAAATGGGAAGTTGCATCACGATTATTCTACTGCTCTATCATCATACGTGTATTGCTGTTGCCACTTCAAGCATGCAAGCACAACATTAATTGCCCAATTCTCTGCTATTAAAACTGTTTCCATTTAAAATGTCAACTAATTAGGATTGCGACAAGAAACTAGTCCTCATACTAATGCCCTACGTGTGAAATATTCACATGCGATCATCTAAATACCAAGCATATCGAGTAAATGTAGAGACTTTGGAGAACATACAAAACCAGAAAAATGAGAAAAAAAAAAAGACAAAATACCTGCAGGCCGACAGTCATGCTCAACAGAGCAATTTCATTCTTTCCAGCCTTGAGAGATATGGGAGTTGTAAATTTGAATGATGGCACCGTGCCATTACCAGACGCACTAACTGACAGAAACATAAGCTGGACGCTTCAGACATTATCATAGAATAGTATTCAAAAGTTCGGGTGAAAGTAAACAAGACAACGAAAAATAACCTTGAAGCTTCTGATTGATGAAAACATGCATAGCATGGCCTTTCGATTCAACTATAAGCATTGGACTTTTGCCGCTTGTCAAGAACTCTTCAGTTCCATGAACAAGTAAGCTGTCATCAAAAACTATCTCTGAGTGTTTGCCTTTAAATACCACCCAAATTTACATGAATTGCAAATCATATTGTTTCGATGGAGGTCTCCAGTAATTTGCCAGTAGTAAACTGTGCAGTTCAACTCTAAGAATTGGCCCGGTTTTAACTTTTTGGTCAACTTTTGTTGATGAAAATATGACTATGTAAAGACAGCCTTAAATCCCATGCAGAACTTTATATCAATATTTGATTTTGTCTTGTTGCCTCTAACATTTATAAAAGCTTTTTGATTCCCTACGGTTCAATTTGTTTGTAACTTAGGAGTATCAACCCATGTCTCAACAAGTTGAAGAAATGTCATTTGGAAAGTATAGTTGCAAGAATAACTAGCAAACCCCATAAACTCATCGTTTGACACACACACACACACCCAAAAAAAAAAAGCAGTAGAATTTTCAATAAAGCACCAAAAGGGAGCAGAGCTCTGTCTTCCATATATAGACTCAAGTTCTTAAATTAGCTTTTTATACAGCACCAATAATTTACGGTTATGAGGCATTAAGAGTAACAAATTGAACATCACGAAACCATTTATTTTCACCAAACAAAAGGCAAAATGTTAGAAAATAAAGATCCAAGCAACACCAGATAAAATGCCTGTTGAGTAACAAAAGTATGTAACTAACCTTGTTGTATACCAGAGGTAGTCTGTAGTATCTTTTGTAGTGTTAATGTGATCGACCAAGCCATTTTTAGTAAAATCTGCAGTATCCCAAATTCCAGCTCTCTCCTTAAACACCTGCCATTGAACACCTTTCAAGCCTTTATTTGCTGATGCAGTTGATGCCAGCAACTCTGTTGGTATCATCTCAACCGTAGATGTCTGAGCACCAACCTATTCAAATAATAAGATATTATAGAATTTACATGATGGAAGAAACTGGAATACATGAAAGTACATGGAAGTCAAGAGATTAATAATTTACCTTTGCTGTGTTGAAAACTACATTTTTACAGTCCGGTAGAATGCTAACAGACCATGCTGGCAGGTACAATGATGTATTTCGAAAAACTACCGTTTTGCCATTTATATCATCCATGTTAGAAATAAAGGCAACACAAGCTCCTGATGATTCTTCATAGACATCAGCCTACAAAATGATGAAAGAACTGAGTTGAGACAACATTAATAAACTGCAAACTTGGGTAAAGGCCAGCCTCAAGTGTATGATTCATTCAAAACGTTGATAAGGACTTCTATATAACAGGATTATTAATTAGACGTTGGGGTTTATTCTAGATAATCAATTGAGTAACCATATCTTCAAGATTATTTCTCATTGAGGTGGGAAGTACCCAGCAAACAAGCATTATTATACGCAATTCTTCAATCGAAACACATGTTGGAAGGCAACAAAATGAAACAAATAATTTACACTTCAAAACAACTACCTCTTGTGAGGGACCCAATGAGAGAAAGGTGGGTTGTCCGTTAAGTAATGCACGCTCGCATAACTTTATAGATCTATGAAGATCTTTAAGATGCCCCCACTTTGGACATCTAGCCAATCCTGGAAGCACCACCATATCAGATATATTATAAATACATTTTAAGACAATTAGACACTAAACGAACTTATGTTTAAAATGCAGCTTTCAAGACTTACCATATTCATCAATTGGTGCATCATAGTCATAACTCGTGGTAATGAATGGTCCACCTGAAGTGCGCCCGAAATTTGTTCCACCATGATACTAAAAAGGAAAACAAGATTCAAATAAAGCAAACACTTTGAGGAAAAGAAGTTAAAAAATAAAAACATACCATGTAATAGTTTTGTAGGCTTCCACCTTTCTGGAAAAAACGTGCGACTGAAAAGGCAACATCTTCAGGAGGCCTGTGAGGATCACTTGCTCCAAACGTCTTAAACCTGATTGCAAATACACCTTATGAAAAATGTCGAGATGAAAATCAATTTATAAATCACAGTGAGATGTGACATACCATCCAGGCCAGTTTTCAGTCCAAAATTTAGGCTTATTTGGAGAGATTGGTTTGAAGTGGTCGCAGTAAAAGGAATTACATGTGTCAATCTAGAATAAAGAAAACAGCATTAGACAATGGTACGCCACTTAAATGCACAAAATCTGGAGGAGAAGTAATATTTACCACAGTAGGAGGTGGATCAAACTGCTGGCACATAATCCAAGGTACACCTGTGTTTTGAGAAACAGCCATGTTAGCCGCCCACTGAGCATACCTTTTTCCTCCTTCACCATAAGCAGATTCATAGAATCCATATTCATTTTCCACCTGCACTTCAACAAACCAACAACTCAGAATGGTAATACAACACAACAGTTATTTCATGCTTAGATCTGGTTCTGTAGGTAGTTACTGAGATTAAGGAATCTTGATAAATGATCCTGTTGCATGCCATGTGAATCACAAATTTAGAGAGTGAAATAAAACTTGCCTGAGCCAAGATGATAGGACCTCCCTGTGAAGCAAAAAGCCTCTCTTTCTTCATCATGTTCACAATTAATGTAGTGAACTTCTTCATATGATACTGTAATTCCAAACAAGTCATGTGTTTGCGTAATATGTTGATTTTAAAGCTAAGAGAAATGTAGAATGAATACCTTGAAAGGTTCATTGTCAGTTCGAAAGACAGTTCCCGGCACATAGTGCAACCAAACAGGTACTCCACTGCATATATATATTGATAGATAATTGAGTTGTAATGCAACAGATAAAGCTATCAAGATCAGTCGCCAAACATATACTCGTGTCATCTGTTATATATGAGAAAGTTGAACAAAAAAGAAAGGAGTGTACCCAAAGTTCCATTCGGCAGCGACAAAAGGGCCGATTCGAAGAATAAGATACATGCCAGCCTGCTGAACAATCTTGCAGAATTTGACAAGATCATACCTTCCTCCAAAGTAGTACTGAAGCAAAGATTAGAAATAAACAAGTTGATACTAATTAATTGTTTAAAAAAAAAAACAGAAATTAGTAGTAAAGGTGGAAAGCAGAGATGGAGAAGACGGACAATGTCGGGGGAGAGCTCATGACCATTCCAGAAGACATATGTTTCAATGGCATCAACGCCTCCTTCCTTTGCTAATTGCACTAGCCCCGGCCACATCTATTATTATTATTTTTATTATTACAACTTTCAAGTTTCATCAGTAAGCATTATAATCATAGTAAGAAGAAGAAGAAGAAGAAGAAGAAGAAAGAATGAAACAGTGTATATAAAGAGAGAGAGAGGGAGGGGAGGGAGGGACTGACGGCGGGGACGCTGCGAGGGTAGTGAATGGCGGCGGAGATGAGAAGCTTGCGGTGGCCGTCGATGATGAGGGAGCGGGTGTCATAGGTGACATTGTAAGCAGCAGAGGCGGACAACAGTGGGACCAGGATGAAAACTAACAGAGCGTGTGGCACAAACATCACACCGGAAGAAGAAGAAACAGCAATGGTGGTGGTGGTGGTGCAAGTATCAGCAGCAGTAGTGTGTTAACCTGAAAAGACATTCTTGGAATTTATAGTAAGTAATGAAACCTTAAAACTAAGTAGTGAGTTAGTTGGTCTAAAAATATGATTATGATTAATTATTAGGTGATCTAGTACTGAGGACGTATGTTAAACAAAACTAATTCTTGGAAAGTGTTTACAGCTGGGGTTTGTCTGGATTGAGGTGAGTCAGTGTCAGTAACTCAGATTAACATCATCCCATTCTCTCTTCTTTCTCTTTCTCACGCTCACGGATATTATTATTATTCCTTTTCTTTTTCTTTTTCTCTTTAACATACAAATTAGGATTGGGTGGGTAAATCCGCCCTCCAAACAATTAAAATATATATATATTTGGTTGAATTAATTAAGAATGATTTTATTTTCCCAATAATATTACTACTAGTATAAAACATTAAAAAAGAAAAAAATGGAAAAGAAAAAGTACTAAAGATAGTAAATAGGCGTAAATGGAGGTGGGGGTGTTAGGAACCCTAACCGCCCAATAGTAACGCGGCATGCCCATGTGCACCTAATAAGCCTTGTATAATTGTGTATATATTGTATCCCCTCTCTATTTCACTATTCAGCCAGCCCCACCAATTAAATGCATTCACGTTTTCTGGTTTTCTGCTATACTATTTCATCATTTAATTAAACAACATATATATCCCCTGTATTATTATACATAACATTGGAATTCACAAATACATTTCACAAATCACAATGCTATTATTCCATCACCTGTGTAAGAGACCACATCACATATATAAAATAATAGTAATTAATTAATAATTTGATAAATAATAGTATGGTCACTCTATCTCAATCTGCTGTGGCTTTTGATCATCTTCCTCCTCCTCAACACCCTTTTTGGTTGCAGTTGCAGAGGAGATGCCAGATGCTTCAACAGTTCTCCCAACCCACTCCTTCAACGGCTCTTCGTTTAAGTCCAGCCTTAGAAGCCCTGCAAATATCCCTCCCACAAATGCTACCGGCTCCTATTCATATATATATAACCCAACACATCATCATCATCATCATCATACTAAATCAATGCATTCCCAAATCTATTGCAAACTCTAAACAACAACTTCACATTATGGTAGGTACCTATTCAACTTATATACAACTCAATACTCTTTCTAATAAACAATTTGCTTCTTCTCTAACCTGGTTTTTTCTTGCAATTACTCTATATTGGAAACCTTTTAGTTACACGAGACCAATTCTTAACCAATCCACTGAGATAAAGAATGGCAATACAATGTGCTGCAGCCAAATAGGTTCTGAGTTCTGTAAAATGATACCCCAAAAGTCACAAAAGATCACTCATTTACCTACCAGGTCTACAGATCGTTGGAAATGAACATGCTACTATCATCATATACCAATCTAAAGACTCATCGAACCACTCAGATTGTGAGTATGTACATGATAACGACTCACAGATCACAGATCACATAAACCCTTGCATATGGTGGGCGGAATTTCTCCACTCTTTCAAGTAAAAATCTCGAGAATAACTTGAGAATTGATACTGAAGTTAAACTCTTTTGGCTACGTTTCAAACCCCATTTATTTCCTCAACTAAAAAAATCAATATATGTATCTACATTGTGGATATGCAGTTGACTAGGGGTGGTGCAAGTTTCAGAGTGAACAAGCTTTCCATGAGGAATCGGAAAAGAATACGAGACTAATTCTTTCTTATTCGCTCATGTTCCATTTATACTAATTTCAGACTACAATCATGAATACACAGATTATAATTAGACATATTAATTGGGAGATCGTATACACATATCTGAAGCTTTGTTTATCATCATATTTGCTGTAGCCCTCAAGTTCAAAATGCTACCGTGGATTATTTATGGAGTTGTAAATAGAAAAGGGATATGAATCTGCTTGAATTTAACTAGATCAAAATAGAAAAGCAGGCCAGGAAACGAATCATCATATCGCAATAATAGTTGAGATAAGTTGCACAAACAAGTAATAGATTTTTTATACATACCTTGAGCGCTTCCTTGAGAATGGGTTCTTGGGAAGAATTGGGGAAAAAAGCCCTAACTTGGAACAAGCCAACCTTTGAAGCAGAATCATTGGTAAACGAATAATCAGACGAGAATGTGAGCCGCTTCCCTCCCACAGAAGACTTCCAGCTACACTGCAACAGCAGATCGATTCAAACAAAGAAATCAGGCATTAAACAACAAATTGCAGATATTTAATTAGCATAAACAAAACTTACGGGAGCCTGGGGAAATGTTACTGATGGAAGCAATAGTGAAGCCATAGCCGGGGGTGCTGCTTGATGAAAATGGAAAATGGAAAATGGTGGTCTTCTCTTCCGATATCACCCAACTCCACTTTCTTCTATTGCTGTGGTGCAAATCGCTTTTAACGGAAATATTTGTTTCTCTATCTTTCTTTTTCAAGAAAAAACATGGACCCCTCCCAAAAACACAGTTTTTTCCTTGCTTACTATTATCTTATGCTATTTTATTTAAAAGCCCCTACAACAAGAGTTTATTATTCTAGGTTCCCCTTTTGTTCTTTTTTCGCAAATAGATCCATTCATGCAACACTTACACTTATTCTAGGTTCCTTATAAGGAAAACCTCTCTCATATATTCTAGTTTAACGTGTGCGTGCAGATAGTGAACGAGTTCTTAAGCCTATAAATATTAGTTCACATTGCCAGTTTTTTTTCTACGAACTTTAGAAGAGAAAAAGCAAGAGCATTTGAAGACAAGAACAATAATTTCTTCGATTTGAGTTATCTCATGTATATTTTTTTTTAAAGTTTGTTCAGGGACGTTCCTGAGATTTTGGGAGCTCTAGGCGAGATTTGAAGATGGTTGAAATTAAAAATGGTGCCCTTCTACAATTTTCGTTAAAACTCAATTTTTTTTCTAAAAAGATGATAAAATCTATGTGAATTCATTTTTGTAAGGTATATAGCTAGAGACAAGGCTATAAATTTCCGGGGGTTCGGGGGCAGCGCCCCCGAATTTTTTTTAAGGATAATTTTCATTAAGTGGTACTAAAACAAGTGTAAATATATAAAAATAAATAGCTAATGCATTATAAATTTAATAATTGGGGGCCCTATGATTAGAGGAATTATAGAAATAAGTAAATATCGTTGATTAATATCTATTCATGAATTAGAGTTCTCAATAATTATATATATAATATATATTTTTGTAAAATAAATAACAATATATAAAGGGTATAAAAAAAAAATTGGAGGCCCTAAATTTTTACAAAAATCCGGAAATCCTAGGCGACCGCCTACTTCGTCTCTCCTCAGAACCGGCCTTGAGTTTGTTGTAAGTACACATGCATCTTGATGAGATAGTTTGTACGTCTAGAGATTTGATACATTGTGTTGAAAAAGTTAGACTTGATTGTACGAGGGACTTGTGTAAGAATTTAATTACCAAGTTCCTACTTTATTCACGGATGTTATTGCAGACACTAGATAAGTTTAGTTGATGAGATGAAATGAATTGATTGTTGGCGCCATATTTCCGGCTATTGAAGATCGAGGAAATCCGCCAAGTTTTGGAATTAAAAGATTGGCAAAGATTTGTTTTCCATATTTATTTTGGAATTTATTAGAGTCCTATTCTTATAATACTTCTATTAGGACTTAGATTTATTTCCATGTATTTTATTCTAGTTAGGTATCTTTTGTACTTATCTAGAATAGAAGAAGAAATCAACTAGGATTCTATTACCTAGTTAAATAGATTTCTTGGGGTTCAAGTTAGGTCTTAGGGTTTATTTTCGTGGCTATATAAGCCTCCAAGACATACAAGAACCGTGGGCATTATTTGGGAGAAAAACCACTTCATAGCATCGAAGCTTTGCCAAGGCGTTCTGCGGAGCAGGACTGTGCCATCGTTGCACTGTGCCAACATATACAGATTTACTGTATAGATCTCAAGGGAGATCAGCCGCGTTTTCTGAAGGGAGTTCAGGCTTGAAGAAAGTTCAAGGCACGCGGAGTGGAGCTGCTGTAGAGAGAGACACGGAGTTCGAGTTGTGTACAAGAACGGCGTAAAAATTAAAGAGAGAGTCTTTGTTATTTTTAATAAGTCCTATTAATGTACACTGTAAATCTGAACTAGTGAAATCGTGTTTGCAGGTCTACGTGGATGTAGGGCACATTTGTGTCTGAACCACATTAATTTCTTGTGTTCATTTATTTGCTTTAAGTAGTTTATAACTGTGTTAACACAAGAATTATAGTTGTAACCGAATACTGTTTCCACAACTTAACTGTTACAACTTAGGTTAATTGATTTCTATAGGCATATAAATCTACAATTGGCATCAAGAGCCTCTCACTAGATATACATAGTGTGTGATTTTGGGAATTTGATTTATTTGCCTTTTGTCTTCCATAGGAACTATAAATGCTCATATGGAAGGTGGTTCCACGACTAGCCCACCACTGCTTACTGGAACCAATTACTCTTATTGGAAGACCAAGATGAAGATGTTCATCAAGTCAATGGATGAAGATGCATGGCGCACAGTTCTGACTGGCTGGAAACGACCTGTTGCCACAGATGAAAAATGAATTCAAACTGAGAAACATGAAAAAGACTGGAGCAAAACTGAACAGATTGCCGCAAATATGAATTCCAAAGCATTGAATGCCATATTCAATGGAATTGATATCAATCAATTCAAAATCATCTCAGCATGTGAGTGTGCCAAAGAAGCATGGGAAAAATTACAAACAGCTTATGAGGGGACAGCCTCTGTTCGATTATCAAAACTTCAGATGCTCGCTACTCGCTTTGAGGATCTTCGAATGGAAGAGAATGAAACCGTAAGCGATTTTAATTCAAAACTATGCGATATCTCGAATGAAGCTCATGGTCTTGGTGAAACCTATCCTGAAGTCAAGCTTGTTCGTAAAGTGTTGAGATCAATGCCAGACCAATTCGCATACAAGGTCACAACCATTGAGGAAGCAAATGATGTGGACTCATTGCGACTTGAAGATCTGATCGGAAATTTGCAGACATTTGAGAACAAGTTGAACATCAGCAAAATAGATAAAGAAAGAAAAATTGCTCTACAAACAGTCGCTGCGACAACTTCATCAGTGTCCCCAGTTCCCATGACAGCACTCGAAGTCAAGCTAACAAAATCCATGTCTCTAATAGCTAAAAACTTCGGAAAACTCGTGAATATGAATGGAAATCCTACAAGTTTTGAAAGAAAACTCAGAAGTCCTACAAATAAGCAAAAAGTGAGGAAGGGGATTCGATGTAGAGAATGTCGCGGCTATGGTCATATTCAAGCTGAGTGTGCAAACACTCTAAAGAAGCAAGGAAAATCACTTGCTACA